AGAAGGGGATAGAGGAAAGGGGTAGAGTGTGCAGGATACATGGAAGGGTTAGAGAGTAGAGGGTAGGGGGTAGAGTGTGCAAGGTACAGGGAAGAGGATAGAGTGTAAATGGTAGGGGTCGGGTGTAAAGGATACAGGGAAGGAGATAGAGAGTAGAGGGTAGGGGGTAGAGTATGCATGATACAGGGAAAGGGATAGAGAGTAGAGAGTAGGGGGTAGAATGTAAAGGATACATGGAAGGATATAGAGAGTAGATGATAGGGGGTAGAGTGTGCAGGGTACAGAGAAGGGGATAGAGAGTAGAGGGTAGGGTGTAGAATGTGCAGGGAACATAGAAGGGGATAGAGGGTAGGAGAATAGTGTGCAGGATACATGAAAGGAGATAGAGAGTAGAGGCAAGGGGGTAAAGTGTGCATGATACAGGGAAAGGGATAGAAAGTAGATGGTAGGGGTTAGAATGTGAAGGATACATGGAAGGATATAGAGAGTAGATGATAGGGGGTAGAGTGTGCAGGGTACAGAGAAGGGGATAGAGAGTAGAGGGGAGGGTGTAGAATGTGCAGGGAACATAGAAGGGGATATAGGGTAGGGGGTGGAGTGTGATGGGTACAGGGAAGGGGATAGAGAGTAGAGGGTAGGGGGTAGAATGTGCAGGGAACATAGAAGGGGATATAGGGTAGGGGGTGGAGTGTGATGGGTACAGGGAAGGGGATAGAGAGTAGAGGGTAGGGGGTAGAGTGTGCAAGGTACAGGGAAGGGGATATATTGTAGAGGGTAGGGGTAGGGTGTGCAGGGTACAGGGATGGGCATAGAGGATAGAGGTAGAGTGTGCAGGATACATGGAAGGGGATATAGAGTAGAGGGTAGGGGTAGAGTGTGCATGGTACATGGAAGGGGATATAGAGTAAAGGGTAGAGGTAGAGTGTGCAGGATACATGGAAGGGGATATAGAGTAAAGGGTAGGGGGTAGAGTGTGCTGGGTAGGGTGTACAGGGTGCAGGGTCAAGGATCCGTGGCACAATATAAGAGGTAAAGGTAAGAAGGTACATGGAAAGGGAATAGGGTAGAATGTAGAAATTACAGGGTTCATGTTAGGGAAAATGTAAAAGGATAAGGCGACAGGGTACATTTTAGAAAGTAGGGGAAGGTGATAGGAGTGCATGGTACAGGTTAAGGCGTATTAGGTAGAAAGTGGAAGCAGAAATTATAGGGAACAGAGTACAACGAACAGAGTAGGGGATAGAGTGAAGGGTAAAAGTTACACAAGAAGGGTTAAGTGTAAACGATAAGGGGTTACACATCGGAAGGTATAGGTACTGGTGCATATAACAGGATTAGGATCAAAGGAAAGAGGTAGAGTACTTCTTATTTGGTAGAGGATAGTGCGTGGAGGGCTGAGTGTAGAGGGTACAGGGTACTTAGTATTTGGTAAAGGATAGTGCGTAGAGGGCTGAGCGTAGAGGGTACAGAGTACTTAATATTCGGGAGAGGATAGTGCGTGGAGGGCTGAGTGTAGAGGGTACAGAGTACTTAATATTTGGTAGAGGATAATGCTTAGAGGGTTTAGTGTATAGGGTACAGAGTATAGTCCAGATGAAAGAGGATGAGATTGAGGGTAGATAGTAGAGGGTAGGGGAAGGGTTGGGACATATGGTACACGTTGCATGATAGAGGGTAACTGGAGTCGGCTTTATCGGTAAAGTATTCAATAAGTGACATTGTCTTTCTATTTAAACTATGAAGATAGGCGATAAAAGTACACACTTTAATTAGCGTCAATTAACTATGTGTTATATACATTCTGTGTGTCGTCGTTCTAAATGAAAGTCTCGATCATCGCTTGAACTGGACTTTCAGCTGGTGGGCGTAGCTAACCAGCTTATTCTATCGTGATAAGAGAAGGAGGCTATGTGCAAGATAGCAGAAAATCTGGTATAAATTAAATGTGGGACCAGGAATAAAAATAATGTTAACCCACCAGCTATGTGACCATTGGCCTTTTGTTTCTCCTCGTGTTGGTTTTGAAACTAGAATAATGCAGAAAACCTGGAAAAATGGATTTACCTTTTCGATGAGAAAACAGCACTATAATTTTCCAGTCCGTCTCTCCTCGTTGAAGCTGGAAGTCACTTGCGTTTTTGAAATGGTCCTTCAGTTCTTGCGTTAAGGTATTACTGGGCAAGCCGTGGATCTCAACACAGTAAGGAATGAGGCCTTCCCGCCAGAAATCATCTTGCTCCATACCGGCGGGTGGTGTGTTTAACGAACTTGAAATCAAAGTTTATATAGCAGAGCTGATCCACATTTCGTCGAAACCCGATAAGATATATTTTATATCAAATTCCCGTTAAGAGCTCAATGTGCTGGTAGATTAAGGTGTACTTTGATTGTTTATATGCACAAAGCACTCATCGATAACAGAATACAAAGATATGTACAGATTGTGTCACTATGTATTATCCATATTAGGAAATAATGTGTGTGGTCATATCACCAGTTTTCTACTGGTGTCTGCGCACATCGCTACAATGTTACACTCATTGGCCATTAGCTATCTAAACGACGAAGCGTCACTTCTTTGGTTCTGTTATTTATCTATTATAGAAGGTTATATCAGTATTGTGTGTGCTTTGCTGATAGTGATCTAGTCGAAATTATCTTAGTTCAAAATGAAAACAACTAATTGTCTGCATTCTATAATGAGTTTCAGTTATAACGAGCGTTGTTTTATTCTTTAGCAAATGCTTCGATATATTTTAAAACATTCTGTTATCAATCAGATATTTTCAAATTTTGCAAATGTATACTTTCTTTCCTACATATATGTATGTTTTGTATGGCGTCTCGTTATATTTGCCTTTTTCTATCTGACTTGAGACCTTTTTTTTTTAACTTGTGTTGATACTTTTTTCTCTTGAATTGACATTCCAAAATTCGGAATAGCCTTGAATTTGATCGGTCACGATATCTTCCATTACGTAAAGTGGTAAAATTCCAAGATATGTGACATGTTCCCAAGAGGATTAACAATATGACAAGTTCATGTGATGTTTAGTAAGACAAGCGCCTGTGTTATGTACTCGCACTGCATGTATTTCCGTTGATTAACCTATATAAAATGTTGATGTACTATTTATCTGTATGACATTTGTCTGTAATGTTTACCTGTATGACACGTTCTTTTGAGGTGTGTCTGTGTGAAACGATATTATTTTGCATGCTTTTAGAGATATATGTATTTTGACCTATTTGTATAATATATATTTATCTTGTTACATGTTCTTTGTTTGATATTTACCTGTATGACATGATGATATTGTTCCTGTGATGCGTACATTTATGTTCTAATCATGTTTATGTGTAGAGATAACGGATTGTGTTGGTCAAGTGAAGCCCTCATTTAAAAACAATAACAAACGCATAAAATAAAATAGAAAAGATAGTTTTATTATTTTAGAATTGATAAAACTATTCATAAGTAAAACATTTAACACAATTTTGATTTACCAGTCCTTTCATGTTGTTCCATTGAACTCAATGAACAAGTTGACAATGCACGTGTTGTTATGATTGGCTAGAGAGGTGTTTTATAAATAAATGTTAAAACAATTTACGAAAAGTGAGAAATTCAAACACACTATATTTAATAAAGGTTTCCATGAAACTGGATGTAAAGTTAATGTAGTTTTAAACTATTTCCACCATTTTGTGTACAATACTTGCTATGTGTAAAAAACAAAAGAACGTAAACAGTAAGGGAGAATGAGTTCAGTATACAAACATAAATACATTTCCTCTCGATTCACAATTAATTAAATTGGGTATGAGACACAAGTAGTGAAATATATACTGTCTTGCAGTTGACCTTCATTACTGTTATTATATTTTTGTTGTTTAATGGCTGCTAAGTTTGAATTTAGTGGCATTGGGCAATGGGACCAGTGCTGTTAACACATCATTTCATGCAAAGGCCTCATTCTTGGCATCTTCGCTAGCCAAGGGTTGATCCGGTACGATCCCAGGTAGATCGTACTGGATCAACCCTTGGCTGGCGAAGATGCATTATTGGCATAAGTCACATAGTATGCGAAATTCAAAGTCCAACTAGATTGAAAAGAATGGTTATGTGTAGAAATTGCACAAACATGAAAACCGATGCTATATATATATATATACATATCTTACAAAAAGAATGGTTCCCGCTGATTTTCGAAAATAGAAAATCAATTAAAAAAACCCATTAAAACGTTATTATGATTTTTCGAGTACCAAAATTTTTGTTTTTGTTTTTACCACAACTTCATTGAACAGAATGTGTCAAAAAGTTAAAAGATAAGTACATATTTGGCTTTGATTCATAATTAGCTACTTCATACAATAAGTAAACTATCACTGCCATACCATTTATGATAAAGATAAAGGATCCCTGTCCTACTGTTGGCAAAGCAAGAAGATTAATTTTTCATGCGTGTAGTTGTCTCCCCTTAATTACGTTTTAGGTATAGCTGTTATGGGACTAGGTCAGCTAGCTATCCCTGATTAGTAACAGCTCATTTGGTTAGAGAGGTCGTATTGTAATAGGAAATCTAGCGTTTTCAACCATGGAATTACTTTTGTTGATTTGTTTCATTTCATATTTATCATAATCCATAAAGTTTTCGCATGATAATGATTCTTTTTTTATTTATTAAAGTCATTGTTATATCGGTTAAAAGATTCCAATCTAACTTAATGTTTTTGGCAGTGGTACAAGGATACTCATATATTTCTGGAAGCTTATGTACATAATGCTTAAATATAGCGAAAATCAACGGGGACCTATCTCGAATCATGACCATCGCCATGAACAGTTGCTGTAATGATAAGTTAACAATGTATATGGATTCTGAATTGTCATTATTTTATGTTTGTTTATATGTTGAGGGGACTTTTATTCATACTATTGTTATTATGAGGATGACATACATAGATTCTAAAACTCTATAACTAGGTTTAAAATGGAATGCAATAATACACTAACCATTTTTCCCACAGAAGCTTCGGTTGAAGCCATACATGTTGATACTGTCTACCGCACCCTCTGCAGTTCCATGCCACAGCATTTTCTCACTCTGCCCGCCGCAGCTTCGGTCCATCTCTGCTTTTTTAGTCATATACTGTTGGTACAGTGTCTGGTTTTGTATTCTTTCAATCTATTGACACAATAGTAATATACATGATTAAAATATTTGGTGTTTATGCCAATATGAAAGTAAACATTTTTTTAATCAAATTTACAATTTGCTGTAAAACCTACCTTAACTATTGTGGGATTATCTTTTCCAATTGTAGCGTTGAAATCTTTCAACACGTCTGTATACTCGGAATCAGTTGCTTGCATCGGTACAACGATTACTGGATCCTGATCGGTCATCGGGGTCCATGTCGTCGGAGGCTGAAGACCGGAATCTAAGACTGACATTTAAGGTAAATAATTAAAAAGACACTTTAAATAATGGAATTGAAGTTGATATTACTTTGCTAATAGATTATCAGTCGACCATCAAACTAACAAAAAGTTTACTTACCTTTGGTCGCCTGTAGCTTGTCTTTCCGTAAAACTTTCGCCCGGTCGCTCTGATCATGGACAGGATATTCTTCCATGGTCGAAAAGTCAATTTCGTAGCGGGTACCGTTTTCATCACAAAATGTAGCTTTTGGTTGTTGTTGTTGGTAGTCGTTTTCGATCGTATGGTTTAGTTCCTCTGGATAAGGTAGCAGTTTTCTACCGTCATCGCATTCATCAATTACTGACCATTCTACGCATTTCGCTGTGATCTTTTCTCTCTCTTTCGTCAGATGCAATCTTTGAATATCCATAATCATGTGATCGATCTCATTTGAAGCTTTGTTAACATTCACAGGCAAACCTGATAGTCTAATACGAGGAGGTCGTTTTTCAAATATCATCTCTACACCAAGTGATCCTTTAAATTAGTCAAGCCTTGTTCACTGTAGTTAAAAAAAACACATATGATACTCGTATACATATATACCCTATGCACTACATTGTCAACAAAATTCCACACTTACACGAATTTACACACGCTTAGTTCATATATCCCTAGCACCCAGTTGAAGCCCTATGTGTAACTAAAATAAACTTTTTGAAGTTGAATGTATGTTAGCTTCGAGAAATGTAAGGAAAGAAGGCACCCTTTTAAAAAGTCAAGCCAATGCTGAAAGCTACAATAAACACTTACTACACTAAATCGCAAATTTATTCGATTTACAACTCATCTGCGGTACTAAATGCAAGAATTAGCTAAATGAATTTGTCAGATCTTGTGAATAACATTAATATAGTGTAAAGAACTTTCCAAATCAAAACGCTCCAGTGATTGAAATGCAACAATAATGGAAGAGTAGGTAGGAGAAAATAAATAAAGTCCAACTGTTCCTAACTTCTATTAATGGTATCATCATTGAAATATAGAAGAGTTTGTACCATACCAGTATATCAAACGGTTTATGAAAAAAGGAGTGTTATTTGCCAAAGGATGCTTTATACCTAATTTGGTTTAATTACGTCCATTCGTTTTGAAGGAAAAACATTTTCAAACCGATTGTTTCGTTCTTCCCCCTAATGGGACCGCTCTTCTGCCCCAAGGGAGCAACACCTTCCTTTTATACAATGTTTAGTCCCTTTTTCCTACAGATGATATAGAACAAATTTGTTGATAATACCTATATTCATACAAAAGGATACAGTTTTTAAAAGAGTTATCATTATATCACCTATTGGGGGCCATACCCTCTATTTATAAAACGTTTAGAACACTTTGGCCAAATATGTTATAGAACAAGTTTGATAAAACCCTCCTTTAGTTAAGAAAGTGACGATTTTTGAAAATTTACCTCTTTTTGCCCTATTTGGCCCCGCCCCTCTGCCCCATGGGGCCATACCTCCCGTTTTAGACCAAATTAAGTCAAAGATCTTTTGAGCCGGAAAGGACTGAGAGCGTTTTAAAGGAAAAGTTAGCGGACGACGGACGCTGCGCCACGGTATTGCCTCACTTAACCGTTACGGCCAGGTGAGCTATAAAAATGATAACATTTCTGTATATGTTTATACGTACTTGGGTGTCAGAAAAATCCTTAATTATAGGATCGTCAACAATACATTCGGTTATATTTTTGTCGCCAAAGAATTCTACATCTCTGTAAGCGGCATCAAGAGAATTTTCAACTTCCCCGTATATGACGAGAGTGATGTTGGACACTGAAGATAGTTCGTCAGTCTTATATGGAAATGACATGTCCGGAGGCGCAAAACCTTGGGAGGTAAGCAAATCATATTAATTTGATTATTGATCATACATCTATTATACATGCTGGTAAACCAGAGGCACAAAGTCTGTTATTATTCGTTATCAAAAGATTTTATTGATAGATTGAACAATCAAATGGAATGAATAAAAGGCAAGCCTATATAAATACGTGTTCTTAATAGGTAGCATACCCCAAGGTGGAATATTGACATTATATATCATTTGGATGCACGCCCCTTTCTATGAAAACTGATAAGTATCTATTGATATCTATATAGTAAAACAGAAATGGAATGGTTACTAAGCCCCCATCCTCCTTTAAAAGGAGGTGAACAACTGAGAGGCAAAGTTATAGAAGTGTGTCAATTTAAAAACTCCAGGAAACACCAAAAAATATTCATGATATTTATGATGAAAATATTATGCTGAATTGTGATACATTATGAGGCACTCAAATATAATCTGGATTATGCATGTGCCTCATGTCAAGAAGAAATAACTCTTTTAAAATCAGAAACCTTATTTTACCGACGATGATTATTTCCTGTAAACGAGATAACTATCGTATTTTAACGAGATAACTATCGTATTTTAACGAGATAACTATCGTAATTTAACGAGATAACTATCGTGTTTTAACGAGATAACTATCTTTCAACGAAACAAACATCGTATTTTAACGAGATAACTATCATGTTTGAGCTTTCACTTTCAATAGCGATTATTATCGCTTTTTATAAAAGTTAGCACTTTCTAAGGAGGTAACTGACGCGTTTTTTAACTTGATTATTGCACTTAAATGACATAATTACCGCTTTTTAAAGAGATTACCATATACAATGTGCATTACCTTGAAATTTCTCATCTTTTCCCCCCTTTTTCTTTTTACCCCGATGTAACATCTTAAAGTCTGTTTGCCATGTATGCCCCATTTCAATTTTCTGTAACAAAAGGATTCTCACCTATTTTTTCCCTGATGTATTTTCCAATCATTCCTGGTCTGCTTGATTCGACATATTTCTTTACATTTGATGAAACGTCTGTAAAGTCAGTTTGTTTGGTAAGAACCACTTCGATTTTCTCTAACTTCTTGAATGAGTTTCCAGTAATGACTTTGCATAATGTCTCACTAAACATTCTTGTTTCTGAAAATGATACCCAAATTGTATAAAGGAAGTAATGTATTTTAAAAAGAGATGTTTTTCGGAACGGATGTCCCAAATCATTAAAGAAAGATCTCTCTGCCTCTCTGTCTTTCTCTTACCTCTATCCGTGCGTGTGTGTATTTGTAAGGATTTATGTGTTTGTATGTACATATAAAGCAGATTACCAGCAATTACTGAATACATGTGCTGATATTAAAGCATATTCCTTCGGCCGACCGGTAGACGAATCCCAAATACAGGACAATATCCATCTGGAAATCGTGTATTATGTGATTCAATAGATAAAGAAGTACATCCGAGATAGTGAATAAATCTATAAATCCAGTTAGCTAGTGAAATTAATTAATTTATAGCATCTTACTTAAATCAAATCATTACAAATAAGTATTAAAATTATATTTTTAAACAATTTATCACAATCCCAAAACTTAATTATGAGTATCTGTTTAGTGCGGAATGCAAGTGCTGATCCGGATATTGTTTACAGTCATGTTACAGTAACCGTTTAATTTNAGTGTGGTGCTCAAGGAAGACCACATGGGACTGGTGAGCATGATCGTCATGGAGATTTTTTCATGTTGAGGACTGCTTGGCATAAAATTTCAGATCACCGATCATGCTCCATTGCACATTGAAAAACATTGTAATTTAGGTTGTGATGATGATGATGATGATGATGATGATGATGATGATGCTGAGTATGATGATGAAGATGATGAATTTAATGATAGACATGTGTACAAATGGTAGGAGGAGTACCAACATCAGTTTCTCGAATCTGTAAGAGTTAATTTAGACTTATTAAAGAAATCAGTTTTAATCAATGATGAATTAAATCAAGATTCTATTGATACATGTGTAAGTAATTTTACTGATGTTTTACTTGGGACTATGCAACAATGTTTTCTAAGAAAAAATAACACTGATAAGCCCCCTGTTAAGTTGACACCCATACCTTTTCTAGTTCCGAAGATAAGCCCTGGTTTAACGATCGTGTTAGAGCTCTACGTAAACAATATTTAGTTGCTTTAAAGAATTTCAACATTAACAAATGTTACTGGACACACACTGTTCTTATCCGTACGAAAAAAAGAGTACAAAATCCTGGAAAGTAAGTTTAAGAGGCAATATTTGAGCGCAGAAGGTGATATGTTGGAGTATATGAGAAAACATAACCCCGGGTCTTTTTATAAGAAATTTGGTAAGAAGAAAGTTAAAACACCAATGTGTAATGGTAATCAACTGAACAATCATTTCAAAAACCTGTCTTCTGTACAAGAAGATAGTGATCCAGTCCATCATGACGACTTTGGTCTTACTGATAATGACACTGTTTTTGAGGAATTAGATGCTCCTATTTCGTTACAAGAAGTAAAAAATGCTATTCGGAAATTGAAATGTGGTAAATCACATGGACCTGATGGTTTGTTTAATGAATGTTTAAAAGCTGGCGAGGAATTACGTCTTCCAACTTTATCTACGTTGTTTAATTATATACTAGAATCTGGTTATTTTCCTTCTAATTGGTCGTCAGCCATAATTATTCCTGTCCATAAGAAAGGTGTTTTAAATGACCCTAATAACTTTAGAGGTATCAGTTTAATTAGCTGTCTTTGTAAACTTTTTACCTCTGTACTAAATAAACGTATTTTAGATGTGTGTACAAAATATGACCTTATTACTGATGCGCAATTTGGATTTCGTCCAGAACTTAGTACGATTAATGCAATTTTCGCATTCCATTCTATTATAACGAAAACTTTATCTTCGAAGAAACGTTTGTACTGTTGCTTTGTGGACTTTCGCAAAGCGTGTGATTTTGTTGATAGATTAAGCTTATGGCGTAAGTTGACTAAGCTTGGTATTCGAGGGAAAATGTTATCCGTCATTAAGTCATTTTATAAATCAGTTAAAACTTGTGTATCAATTAACGGTAAATGTTCTAATGTTTTTGAGTACAATGTTGGATTAATGCAAGGGGAAATATTATCTCCTTTATTGTTCTCTGTTTTTGTTAATGATTTTGAAACCTCATTTATTGAAAATGGTGGAACAGACTATGACTTTGGTGAATTAAGTTTGTTTTTGTTAAATTATGCAGATGACTTAGTAATGTTTTCTCCGTTCATATTTCCATTATTCAGTCTCCCTTCTAAAATGGGCATTAGCCATCACAACCGAGTACGAGTGACTCAAGCAGACGACAAAATGGCGCATTTAGCTGATAAGCATTAATATTGATATAATATGTATCAATTTATCTCGGCATAAAACATGTATTGCCCTCTTGTAGTATGGAAAGGCGAGTCTTTGTGTCTCTCAATAGTACATGATTTATATCATAGAAACAAAAATCCTGTGATATATTTTTTTTATTCCATAATTTTATTTTTTGAAACATTTTCAGCATTACAGAATAATTACAATATTAATTTACGTAATATCTAAATAAAATTGCAAACGTTGACGCATTTCAAAAGAAGTTGACATAAAGACACATTGCCATTATATTTTACGAGGTAGAATAGATATAGTCTACATTTTGTATTTATTGGTGGAAAATAAACCTCAGAGCTGCATCCGTGTGTTATTTTGTCAAAAAACGTCAAACATCCCTGATATATTCCGCCAAAAAGTGCACATATGTTAATTATTTCTTAAGTGTAATGCTAATTAATACCTCTTTGTACATTTGTATATGTTACCAACGTTTTATATATTTAATTGATTACACGAATGTGTTTTACTTACTTGAGTTGTTGGGTTGTTGAAGAGAAGCAGTACTTTTAAATGTTCGTTTTTGTCTCCAATTAACATCCGAGTCAGATTGTGTAGGAACATTTGGGTGACCGCTAGCAGATGACCATTTGGTTTCCTCGTCTTGAAAGGCCTGGTTATTAAATATGAAATAGACATTCTTAGCACGCAATACCAAAATATCTAAAACGGAAATTATAAGAATTCGTAATGTGATGTGTGCTACAGAAATTCTATGGAGATCACGGACGGTTCTAAGTCCCTGGCCAAAACTTCCGCAACTATTTGGGGTGTTTTATATGTAATGATGATTAATTCGACTACGGCAATCGACAACGAAAAGGAAGAATCGGAACTAGTCGGTAAACGAAAAATGTCTCCAGCGACTCATCCTCAAATAAGCATGGCGACCCCTCTTTACTTCGGGCAACTACAGCATCGCTTGTTTAAAAATTCCAAATGAAACATTGGAATATAGAAAAAGATATGCATATAATTAATCTTTCCATAGACGTTCGTCTGTCGGGTTAGTCACGCTTCAGTCATTTTGATTACTAAATTCCGGGAGAAATCCTGACAGAAAACGTTATCGACTTTTTCAAATACATGTACGTCACATCTTTTTGTTAATCGCGTTCTTTTTTCTTTCAGTATGCGTTATGAATTAGTGACTGAAAAATTGAAGTGTATTGGTGATTAACGTGGTTCTTATTTTGATTTCCTTTTATATATTTTAAAGCGAATCACTCGAAAATATCTATCAATATATTCTATTTGGCTGTAGCGTTTCTGTAATGGTAACGTGAAAAAGGAGAAGCGCGTAAAATAACACGCGTTTCAAGTGAACAATATAGCCATACATTATTATTGCGGATTCGAGTCCCGCACCCCACTGTAGAAGACAGTGTATAACATTTCACATGTCCGCACCTTTCCCCAATACTTACCTGAATTGATTTGTCATCTTTATCATATATGAAGAAGTGAACCTCCTTTAGGGTATTTGGATCGAATTCGTTGACAATTTCGAACATTTCTGCCGCGACAATATCGTGTGGGTAACCAAGATTGCCAGTTCCCAGATCTGGGAAGGAGATTGATGTCATCAATTCATCGTCTGCCATTTGCAGGCAACGTCTAATAAAGTCTTGAAATTGCTGTAAATTTACAATGAAGAAAAATGGAATATTAACGGAATAGTTTTAATAAATTGAAAAAAGAGAAACATTATGTGGCAGTCCTGAGGCCTCTGATTATTTAGATTTAACTATTATCCGATTTCGATTATATTTGCTGTTACGTTATATCTTTGCATTATTTACTATGAAATGGCAGTTTTGTAGACATTTTAAAACTTTTTTTTATGGCGTTGTTTTATCGTTCATTCGACTGTTGCGTGAATGCAGGTAAAACGTTTAGCATTGACCCCGATAAAAAATTGAGCCCGGGTCAGTTTTCAACGACAAAATTTGAACCTATTTAATTTTTCTTTTCATCACTCCCGTTACCCATCTAAACGTATGTCTGATGTAGAATCTAACGTAACAAATCTGATTTTCCCAGTACGCTTCATGATGTTACCCCCATGTTAACTTCACCTGATACCCAACAATGATACTTCCGCTTCGAATGGTTTAGAAGGAATGTGCTTTCAAGGTATCTAGAGCAGTATGATGTATTTTCAACTAATAGTTTGGATCAATCCATTCATCCATCCATTCATCCATCCATCCAGACAGACAGACAGACAGACTTGGATATGCCAGGAAATGTTATGGCTACATGACAGTTGTATAATTTCCGAAGCCAATAACTTCGTCATGTGATAGCCGTTCGTCATGTGATAGCCGTTCGTCATGTGATAGACCTTCGTAATGTGATAGACCTTCGTCATGTGATAGACCTTCGTAATGTGATAGACCTTCGTCATGTGATAGCCGTTCGTCATGTGATAGACCTTCGTCATGTGATAGACCTTCGTAATGTGATAGACCTTCGTCATGTGATAGACCTTCGTAATGTGATAGACCTTCGTCATGTGATAGACCTTCGTAATTTGATAGACCTTCGTAATTTGATAGACCTTCGTCATGTGATAGACCTTCGTCATGTGATAGACCTTCGTCATGTGATAGACCTTCGTAATGTGATAGACCTTCGCTTTTAAAAGGCAAACTATCATTTCAGCACCCCTCCTCCTCATCAAAAACAATTATCAGTGGCAAATTTAAAGAGTTATAGAATAGAATCTTTTCGACAACTATCAAATTTCAGTTATAGACAGATGTGTGTGTTTAGAGAGCTGTATGCAATACTAATTCGGCTACTAAGAGACATAGAGCTGAAGACCTTATCAAGGATTATACAAAAATAAAAGATGTTTGATTTATCCATGTGTGATATGAATGAAGGTCGATTATTTTTATCTTTATGTCACAACCGACACCACCACCACTGCATTTCATGGAAAAAACATTAACAAATCAAAGTAAGTCATCTTTAGGTAACATTACCTGAAAAGCCATGTCAGTCTTATAGTTATTCAAAGCTCCATGGAAAATGTTTTTGCATGCGAGGTGTCCTCCTTTTGTCGTTGCCACTTTGCCGTGCTGAATACCAGCCGGATAGCCAACATGACATTCGTCCTGAATCGATTGTCCTGCTGCTTTGAGGATTGAACTAGATACAGCTCCATTTTGTAACTGTAGATCACATGACGTGGTGTTTACAATGACGTCAGTCTATAGAAAATAAAAGAAGATGTAATGCATTCATACTAAATTACTCTATTTGTATATTTTTCGCAAAACTTAAAGTTGCAATTGAAAAAAAAGTGTGTCTTACCTTCGCGGAAGCGATCTGCCCTTTGACAATCTGTATATTCTAATTTCCTCTCTTACTAGTAGCAACCTATTTGTCTTAAATACACAAATACAAGAATATGTTAGATATATAAGCATGCATAGGTATGTAACAATGATATTGAATATAACTAATGGCTTGCTACTAAAACACTTGCGTGAAATACAGATGACATTCAACGAGCACGCGGGTACATTTCTATCTCTTACTCTAAAATCGTTCACTTTGTTTGCTGTTTGCTGTTTTGTATTAAGACGATCATCATGATACGTGACCATTGTATATATTTGAAAGTAACTTGAGTTATAAAGGAGTAGTGTGGCGCAAATTGTTCTATGATATAACTCAATTTGAGCAGGCATCTACTGTCTCTATGGACATCGACTTGGTATGTAATAAGATAGGTATATTATCATTTTGAAAACAAACGCACAAACGCTTATTCGTCTTAAAGATCACACTAGATATACAATATCACTTCTGGCAAGTTGATGGAATCATATATAACACAGGCAAAATTGATGCATTGAAATAATTGTGAATTAATTGGAAGAAAAACAAGTGTCGGGGAGTTTTTAATTAGAATTTCAGAAAATTGTTGTTCAGTGACTATTATATTTCGTGGATAAACAAATATTTTTATCATATTTGATTCTATTAATAGATTAAAGCACCGTATCCCAGAATATGTTTGTAGTATTTGCAAGGAAAGGATAGGATTTACCTTTCTGGCCGATGCGTTTCCATTGATCGTTAACAGGTTTCTTGTGATTTACCACAAATGTTTCTCCTAGCTGACATTTGAGTTCCTCGGCGAAGCAGGAGACCGCTGTACGATTAATGTCACACAGGTAAATTTCATTCACAGAGGTATGTGTCTCCTCTTCCATGAATTCGAGGATTGTTTCAATGATGACATGTGTAGCTTTATCCTCAGGATATTGGAATATTCCTGTACCCAACGCTGGTATTGCTATGGATGTATATTGTCCGCGACCACATTCTTCTAGGCTCTTCCAAATAACTCCGTCAAGATATTCTTGTTCTTTTTTTCCCCACCTCGCCAGTTGGGGCTGTTTGCAGGTGCTATCATTTTACATTTCAGGTTTCCTGGTTTGCTACAGTATATGTCTCCGTCATGAAGATGACCTTTCCGTTTGACGTATTCTGTACACTCATCTTGAATACTCTTCCCACCTAGATATGTTAAATTAATTATATACTGTTAAACGTCTTTAGCAAATATGTTTTATTGACAGTTAAAGACTTAATATTAATATTTCTCTTGAATACTTTTCCTACCAAAGTATGCTAAAATAAATATATACTGTTGCGCCTCTTTAGCAAACATGTTTTATTAACGGTCAAAGACTGCATATTAATTTCAAAAACAGTTTATCTGAGAATGTTTGCCTACCTTTTGTTACGATTGATTTTGCTAGTCCACCAGCATGATCCAGGCTACTGTTTGCAGCATTAACAATCACGTCCACTTTCAGTTCAGTAATGTCGCCTTGGAATGTCTTGATAACAGCCCCCTTCTTTGTTGTCCCAGTTGCTATCAACTAATGGTATGCAAATAGTGGAATACCAAAATTAAACGCAAGTTAAATATTTAAATTATATTTTAGAATTTTCCGATTTTTTTAATCATATAACAAAAACAATCGAATACAATATATTCACAAAAAGACGATTAACACGTCAATTACCTCAGGTTGTGAATCCAAAGTTGAACCAGGATGACTCAACTGTGTAAATTCTTTCTTTCCAGTTGTTGAAACTTCTATGATACAGGTCCGTCTAGTTTCGATATCGCGCCGACATGACACCCAATATGCAGATTGTAATATCTCTTGGATTCCCGGTTTATCCAAAGAGAAACATTTGAATTTTACGTTTGAAGCTAGATCTGCAACCAAAGGTTTTGCATGATTCAAATCATCTCTCGAACCACGAATGACCATTTCCTCATCTGATAGACTGATCTTGATATTTCCATGGGCTGACCTTCTTTCAATTAACGTCAAATTGTCGCGTTTGTACTGCCTGAAGTACTGGGATATTCCGGGTTCAAGTTTCATAGACTCCTCTATAATTGTATTTTTGGCAAGGAAGTCATCAATGGTTTCTAAAATTTCCCCACAATGTTCAGCTATTGTTAGTATCTGGACTTGATACCTTGTCATGTCAGCCTCAACCTGAACCATTCCAGGAAACTTTCTCGTGAAATTATCGCAGATTTTCTTCCACGGATCCTTTGAGAGTAATGTTATCGAAAGTCTGTCGATTTGGTGTGACTTCTCCATAACTCGTGCCTTGATCAGATCTGCCGCCTTGACTATATCGGGTTGGGTTAGACTGTACAAAACGATAGAACTGTCACTTGGCTGGACTTCCCATGAACATCTAATACCGGCTTCCTTCATCTTTGATTTCAGGTATTGATGAACGGCATCAGTCTTAAGAAAAAGCAATCCTGCATTTGAAAATTGTTTCTCCATCTTTGTATGAGACATCTTGCTCATGGTTTCATATATATCCACTTGTGCTAACTTGATATCCGTGACTTGTCCTTCAAACAGAAGTTTCCCTCTATCGGTGTCTGCTGTGACAGCCAGGTCTGGTATATCTCGGCGCAATATTTTCAATGTATCCAAGTCACATAGTAGCACTAGCTTCGGAAAACTAATGTTCATTTCCTCTCTTATTCTTTTCTTTTTCCTTTCAATGTCATTTTCCGCCTTAAGTCTTGATTCTACGATCAATCGTGCTAGCTGGTCAACTTGTCTATGATAACCAATCAATGTTACTTCAGACGACTGATCATCATAGGACACGTGTACTGCAGAGGAGTCTGAGAACGCGTCAGTCCGTACCTTTGCCTTGAAATCATCATTCCAAATTTCTTTCAACATTTTTATTGTTTCAATCTTGAGGCTTTTCTCGATATTGAACATTGCTTGCAGCACATCATTGTTCCACGTCCTTGCCATTTTTCTAACATTCTTTGTAGTTTTCGAAAGAGTTGGTGAAACTGAAAACTGGACGTCATCATAATGTTCGGGCCATTCAATCCGAGCATTAATGGCTTCTAGTGTTTGATAAACTTCTTTTCTGCCATGCTGGTACAGGAATGCATACATCTTGATTTTATCAGTGTCATGTACTTCTATTGGCGGAGGTGCTTTAAAGGCGTGCGTTTGTCCATCTCCGTCACTCACCTGACCAAGACCAGTATAATGGGGATGTACAGACAAAGTAGAATGGTCCAAAACCAACTGTCGTTGACCGCATACGCTGTCTACCACTGCAATTAAATACTTTTATTTAACATTCGCAACAGATTGTCCGTGGTCAATTGAAATATAATGAGTTGGCCATTATTTAGTTTTCCCCGTACGTACACAATACATTTTCGCACAAGAAAAATAAAACAAAACTTTCAATTATGCTTGGTTACATGTCAAACAAATATATTCGACCGATGACTCACGATTAACTTTGAGATAGGCTAAGGTAAGTGAAATAGAACATTTTAGATTTAATATATTAGAATTACCTTTGAAATCTTCAAAGAAGATAAGACATGAGTTGTCAACGTCTGACATTTCTACTTTTTGTATATCACCTCCCCCGCCTCTTCTTCCGTTCTCAAAGAACATTTCCAGTGCGTCTGATGTCGTGTTGGGATTCAAGTTACCCACAGACACACAGTTTGTGACTGCAACTCTCTCAGCTTTAAGAAAGCTACCCTCCAGTTTACGTTTCTGACATAAACTTGCAAACGTATCAAAGTCTGAAATATTAAAGAAAAGCTCTGGATTAAACTGATTTTGCTGTAAAGATATATTTATTTCTGATTTATTCGATGAAGTACATATTTTAGTACGATACTTTAAAAGAATTTTAACTATTGAATTGACCATTGACATCAGACAAGTTATGATGACATGTTGTCGGTTTTTTTAAACGCTATATTTTGTGATACCATGATAGCGAACTAAGTTAAAATCGACGAAAAAGCAACTTTATACCAATTGAATGATACGTACACATCTCATCTCTTGGATAAAAATTAAATAAAAATAGACTAAAACTCTGATCTGCTGGATTTTGCGAAGTAGATAAACCAAAGGCTATTGTCCTGCTTATGTAGGGACAACCGCAACATTCAGTATATATTCATCAGCAATTTCCTGATTACGTATGCTGACAAACGAAAAGGTAGATAAACTGTCCAAGAAGCTGACGTCCCTGTGAGAAGCCGCGACGTTAGGACAGAAGCTTGCATCTGTCCCATCTCTAAAACCGGTTTCAAACGACAACTGAAATGGCAACAAGCAATCGACGTCTAGTGTCCATAACAGTCAAAAACGTCGGATGCGACAGGTCGGTTGAGGAGAGGGGTTCCTTTCCTCGAACCCACACTTAATCAACAGCGACATCAACACCGTTTGCAATGGTGTCGTGCGCAAGATCCAAACGTCTGAGGTGTTAAAAATATTCAACCTCGACCAATAAACTGTTTGATGGGTTTATGTTAAGTAAGGTATAGGCAGTAAAACAATGTATTGGTCACTATATAGCAACGATTGTAATAGTCTAATAGTCTGTAACGGCCAGCACACCCTGGAAAACGTTCCCATCGGGGAACAGTAAGTGTATTAAATGCGGGAAATCCGGTATGGCAGTTACATGATAAGGACGCACGATAACGACCCCGGTGTTATGTTTAAGTTATAGCCACATAACCGTGTCCTCTCACCTCTTGAACATGAGACAACAGTGAGTGTTTCATAAATGCTGTGACTTTTATATCACTAGTGTTTACACTATCTGTCACACCCTGGGACGGTGAACGCCATACATACAAATATGTTGGAGAGTATACTGAACAAAAAACGAAGGCACAATTGAATTAGGTAATCAATAGCTTATGATATTTTGAGAAATTTGTAAAAAAAATTATATCAATATGAAGGGACAAGTCTACTCTTTACAATACGGTAGAGGAAAAGTCTGTGTGACGTCACTCGTGTCATCAGTAGTCACTCAAAGTGGGATACCCGCTAAAAACAAAATGACACTTCAGTACCTGGTGTGGGCACCTTTTGCACGAATCCCTGCACGGATTCTCCTATGCATTGAATTCATGAGAACATTTATTCGCCTTAAGGGCATGTTGTTCCATTCTTGTGCTAATTGGGGTTTTTGACGTTTCCTAATACGTCTGTCTAGCTCATCCCACAGATGCTCAATGGGAGACATGTTGGGGCTATATGGGGGCCATTCCAGAGGCTGAACGTTGTTTGCCGTGAGAAAATCACGACAGACTCTGGCAGCATGCGGTCGAGCATTGTCTTGCTGGAAAATTAGGTTATGACGTCTGAAAAGTGGAAGGACATGTGGTTGGAGGATCTGGTCTCTGTATCGAACGGCATTGAGGTTTTGATCCAGGACCACTAAGGGGGATTTTACTTCATGGGAGATGCCTCCCCAAACCATTACAGAAGCCAAACCGAATATATCGCGTTCAACCACGCATGCGTCGGCGAAACGCTCACCGCGTCTGCGATATACCCTTTTTCTTCCGTCTGAGCGATACAGACAAAATCTAGACTCGTCGGTGAACATCACACGCCTCCATCGACGCATCCCAAACCTATTCGGGAGATGTCTACGCATCCAGTCAAGACGAACTTGCCGCCTCCGTGTTGTCAGAGGTGGCCCGACTTAAGGTCGGCGCGCAATGATTCTCTTAGCACGCAAGCGGTTCTTGGCAGTTTGAGGACTAATGGGCCTGCCATGAGTACCCATGGTATGCGACGCAGTCTCTATAGTAGTCTTGAATCTGTTGTTTGTTCAGTATAGATATGTACTGATATCCAGAGAAACTTCCATAAAATAAATAAAACTCTTCAATAGGCTACCATACCAAACATAAACGAGAAGATGAAGAAAGAATCAGATGAAAGGTTAGCGTTCGAGGTTTGGGGCAGAAAATGGAACCTAGTGGTAAGAGGAACAAAGGGTGAAGTTTAGGAGAATCCTATGGACTCTCTTGTAGCTATTCGGAACTTCTTTGAGAATTCCCTTTAAATGCAGGATGATGTCGTCGCACAGGTGTTGTTTCAAGCGGTACACAGGTTACCTAATGGCCTTATAGGCAAGCGGAACATTATTGTTAGATTCCTGTCACTTATGGACCGAGACATCGTCCTCAACCAAGCATTGTCGGTACTTGAGCCCAAGTCAGGTTATGCTGTCGTTCCAGATCTTCCACCTTCTCTGGCCAAACGGCGATATGAGGCAGATGAGACAAGAGGAACGGTCAAAATATAAACGTATCTACTTGAAAGAAGGGCCATTCCTGAAACTGGTTAAAAAGAGGTAGATATGGGGACGGAGAAAATGTGTATGGACTTAAATTGTAACAAATTTTGTGTGGAAAAATGTATGAAATAAACTTGCCTATGTCTATGTTAAACACATTCTATTCCAGTTATCTTAGACTGCATTCCGATTGTCAAATTCAGGTCGCTAAGTACTTTTTACAAGCATGCCTCTGCATTTAAGGCAAACATAATGTATAGGTAACATTTTTTCATAACACTATATTAAACAATGGTTAATGGTTTGTAATTCACAGTATTGAAGTGAAGCATGATCATGGCCTATGATAACGGAGATAAAAGGTGTTTCACATTACATGTATCTATTTCATAACATGCTCTAATGATATATGCCTACGAGCAAGCGCCCATGACGTTACCTGAGATACGCTGTTTACCTGTGTACATGTAAGTCGGAAATGTATAAAGCGCACGTGCTCATGACTCTCTGTCAGTGTATACACATAACTTCTAAAAATACATTATCAAAATGTTTCAGAGAATTTAAGTAATCAAAGATAATGGATAATTCTGTAATTAATTGACATTAAATATTTGATGTTTGGTTCGGTGTTATTTTGTTTAACATCCTATTAACATCTATGGTCATTTATGGACTTGCCTCCATGTGTGTTTTATATGCATGCATGCGTGTATGTGTCCCGGAAACAGGGTATATTGGTGTATTTGCCGCCTTGTGATAGCGGGAATCTGATGCCGACTTTATAGTGCTATCCCACTGAAATACCTAGTGATACTATATACTGTCCCTTGTAACGCTGTTGCTAAAAATATCGACGCATATACGATGCAAAAGGAGTAATATCTGTGTTTTTACAACAAATGTTTAGAGCTCACCAATATTTTTGCCAAACGTCACTAGAATTGTTCCTTCTTCTTCACCATATATCAAAGATTTTGGAAGGGCTGAAGCTTTTAGTTCCAGAAAGTTCTCCAGTGCATCTTTGCTTGTGTCGGGATTAACATCCCGGAGTAGGACTTTATCCTCACACATCTGTACAGGTAGGGGCTGGAGAAACATCTTCACATCCAGTGTCCTGCCATCCAGGACATGTTTTCTTCTGATGACTTCGTCAGTTACTGCAATGTATTCATAATGAATCAGCTAATAATAATAATAATAATAGTATACAACATTTATATAGCGCCCTATATAATTTGTAAAATTACTCTAAGGCGCTTTACAACATATGGATAATAGTAATGGTTATAATTGTGAAAACAAACAACAAAGGCTTGCAATCACTTTCAAACATCCAACAAGCAATGTGCACATAATTGAACAAATCAAAGGGTGGCATTTACATGACGTCTTTGCAAAGATTCTAAAATGCAGACGTGAAGAGGTGACTTTTTATGTCCCTCTTGAACTTGGCCGGGGTATTTGACTTCCATATAGCAGGTGGTAAGCTATTCCACAACGTAGCCGAAACCCTCCAAAAGCATCTGTCTCCGGAGGTCACAGTACGAGATTTTGGGACACACAACAGAGATTCTGACTCCGAACGCAGTGATCTTGACGGCTGATACAGAGTAACAAGCTCCTGTAGGTACTGAGGAGCTGTTCCATTCAGTGCCTTGTATGTGTATACCAGGATTTCGTACTGCGACCTGTATCGCACAGGTAATCAGTGCAACGAATAAAGCGCATGTGTGATGTGCTCTCTCTTTCGAGTACGAGTAACTAGCCGTGCTGAAGTGTTCTGGACCCTCTGCAGACGACTAGTTAGTTTGTCAGATATACCACAGAGTAGGGCGTTACCATAATCCAACCGAGAGGTAACAAGTGAATGCACCAAAATCTTGCATGCATCTGCAGTTAGAAACTGCCGAATACAACCGATGTTCCTGATCTGGTAGTAACAGGATTTGGAAATAGCGTTCACTTGTTTCTCCATGTTCAGAGAACTGTCAAAGTATACCCCTAGGTTTTTAATAGCTGGAACAGTCTCAATAGTTCTGGCACCAACCTTGAGCTGGAGAGCCATTGCTTGCTGACACTTTGGGGAAAAGACGATTGGTTCCGTCTTTTCCTGATTAAGTTTAAGCATGTTGGCGTTCATCCAGATACTGATATCTGTCAGACAAGCTTCCAGACTTTCTGAAATTGTATTCCAACTGTCCTGTGGTTTTATGACCATGTGTCATGGGCATAGCAATGATATAACCCATTATTCATTGAAAATTCGTGGTCGGGTCTTTCGATGCAATTTTCTTTTTGAAAAGTGTGTAAAGAATATAAAAAAAATAATCTTAAAACGTACATTTAAAGTTTATTACCACATATCGTCTATTTTCTTTAAAAATGTCAATTTTACAATAATTATACAACAGTGTGCAATATTGCAAAGGTCAGTAGCATACAAACCTGATGCGTCCTCAAATGTGATAATTGCAATGATTTTTTCAGGATCGAAATCGAACTGCTTGATATTTCCTCCACCTGATTTTCTTTTATTCTCAAAATAGAACTGAATAGTATCACATGATGTATTTTGTGACATCCCGTGGACTTCTATAGTGGATAAATCCTCCTGATCGTCTATGTCACTGTCTGATGTTTCTTCCTCCGATTCATCGTCACTTTCACATTCAACGCGAAATTCTTCAATTTCGAGTATTTCCTTTTTAAAAAGCATGGGATGACGAGCTAGTACACGTGGAACCACTGAAACAATAAATGAGAGTATATATACTTAGTGATAGTGGATCGACGTGTGAAGGTATGCTCTTTTTGCTATGTTTGATAGGTTTTGACTCAGTTGGATCATAAGGACAGTATACAAATATCGAATGATTGTTTAATTTCACAACACATCTATTGTTGTTAATGCCTCATAATATAATCTCAGAAAGACCAAAGGCAGATATCTACTCCCATGAAATGTGCCGTTCGTTTTTCGTGATTGATATAAACTTTTTCAACCGGCCCTCCACTTGACTTTTTAATCTCATAAAACTTCTTCGTGTAAATTGCATTTACAATTAAATCTCAGAAAGACTAAAGGTATATCTCTGCTCTCATGAACTGTGGTCAATGAAAAGTAAATTTGCCGCGTTTCATGCTTAGTTTATTGAATTATAATTCCAGGTTAAAGGAACATGGCTTTAGGCAGTTGAGAGTCTATAAGGTAAATATTAAAAAAAACCAATGTTGATATTACCTTCTGCTTTCTGAAAAGTTACTATCGCCGTTTGTTTTTCGTGATTGATATCAACTTTTTCAACCGGTCCCCCACTTGACTTTCTTTTACTCTCGAAAAATTTCTTCAGGTCCTCTTCTTTCACATGGTCAGGTAACTTAGATACTAAAATTGTATTGACACAAAGAATCTCTTCTTTATCCCCTATCATATCCTCGCCCACTTGCTTCTGTTCACGGCTAAAGGATTTGGTTTTTGATTTACCCAAACCAGGCTCTGAAAAAAAAGATGCAGAGGCACATTGATGAAATGGATACCAGGATATTTTTGCTGCAGTTTGATTTTCGTCCTTTTCGTTTTCTCCAATGAGGGCATCGCTTTTATTACAGAGAATATAAGTAAACAACATACTTAACATAGTAATTAAATGTGAAGGGCGAAATTAACACTTTGCGTAACTTGATTCCATCGGCGAAGAGCGATAGTTTGACACGGCGAAAACTTTCCTATGTATAGTATTCAACCTTTAACCAACCAACAAATGTTATTATAATTGTAACCTTAGAATAACAGTAAGTTTCGTTTTATTACCTGCCTACACCCTTATGTTTTCTAGAGAAATCAACCAATCCCAAGTGAAAACCGTGGGATTAATAATCTATATACCTATCAAATCAGAATGATTAATCCATTAATGACTTATATGATGGACATAAACGAACCGTCTAAAGGCCGGTGAAATTTCTTTGAAAGTCTCTGCTGCTGTGACGACTGTTCTGGTGACACATGTCGCGCAGACGACTGTTCTGGTGAAATATGTTTCGTTGACGACTGCTGTTGATGTACGTGATATCCTGGATAGCCGTACCAAGATGAGGCTATGGCATCCGATCCTTGATTAGGCGGCGGGACCATTGGATATGGTCCTCCATAAGGCTGCAAATATGGCGTTGGTGGTCCATATGGCGGCGGTATGTTTCGATCAGGTCCTCTATTAGGCGGTGGAACATTTGGACCTGGTCCTTCGTAAGGCATCGGGAGATTAGGACCTGGTCCGCCATATGGTAGCGGAACGTTTGTATTTGGTCCACTATTTGACCACGGACGGGCGGGTCCCAGTTCTCCGTATGGTCGCGAATACGGTCCTTCAAATGGCTGCTGAATATTCGGATCCTGGCCTCCGTATGGAGGCGGGATCCTCGGTGGAGTTGGATACGGTACTTCTGGTGATATCCCCTGCCTCCCATACGAGGTCCATTGTCCACCCAGCCGATTAACCTGTCCAGGATTATTGTCGATTTTGGAATTGTTGTTGTATTGTCTGTTGCCTGTTGGAGGGTTCAGTTCTTTCCTTTCCTCAATTTCAGTATTTTGTAGTTTATGGGGAGTTGGGTTTTTAATTTTCAGCTCATTGTCTGTTTGGGCCGTCGAATCACTTGACGTGAAATCCTGAAAGAAATACCAAATTGCAGATAAAAATCATTTCTAATGTAAATACACTCATAACAAGAGACCGAATGGGTCTTAAAGCTCACATGATTTCAAATAAAAAATGACACAGCCAATCAAAGACCTGTGTTGCCATGCTGAATTGTTGGATAAGCAAACAAGAAAGAACACTCGTCGGGGAACTCTTATACAATATTTGGAGTCGATGGGTTCAGCTGAGTAAAGGTCGAAATATTTCAGTCAATTAGAAGCTGAGTGGCCATCTTGAATTTTCAGATCGGCACGAAAAGGTTAGGACCATAAAAGATATAACTGTCAGTTTTGCAAAAACTCTAAAATATCTCCGCCAATCAGAGACCAAAGTCGCCCTCTTAGATTTTCATATCGGTACCTAAATTACATTTGCTTTAGTAATTCTTGTGAAATACATTTCTTTGGGACCTCATAAGGAACATTTATACCTAGATTGAAGTAAATCAGTTAAAGAATTCGAAAAGGTAAATGTTTAAACCACGACACTTGCTGCACAACAGACGACGACAGACGTAGACAGATGGCAATAGCTTAGCTGAGCAGTCATGTGAGTTAAAAATCACTCTACCTAGGTCTCGTAAATGTCACGTTCATAAAAGACCTTAAAATATCATCTTTTATTTTATTGAGAAAGGAATCTCAAAACTATAACATATGACTATATATAGCTTCTTATTGTGTGCCTAATGGAACAAATAAGCGATAACGCACTTTCATTAAATACTAAAGAAAGTGAATCTGAGCATGGCTCTTAATACCCTTCCCCCTTCTGGATCAAGGTGAAATTTTATTTTTATTAACAGTGATCTTGACATTTTTGCATTAATGACAATGTCATTTTGACGGTTGGGCCCAAATGTTAACTTGTCAAAGGTATGTTGAGGTGAAAATTATATGTTTAGTAACATCTACCTTAACATTTTGGTAACAATGACAATGTCAGTTGAATGTTTACGTCCAAATGTTAACCTGCCAAAGGTATGTTGAGATTGACACATGTGTAAAGTTTCATCAAAATTTGCCAGGAGAAAAAACCCCAAAAAGGTAAAACTATATTTATGAATTTGTAATTCAAAAGCGGACAAGAGTGACCTTTGACCATGCCCTTTGACGCTTTGCCATGACCATTGACCACTAAAATCTAATTATCTATAAAACTTGATTTTACCATATTATGGTTGAAATATGAGCTAAGTATGATAGGGCTCATGTAAATATAAAAATCGTCATAAATGGCTTATTCACATGATAACCAGACATATATAGAAATTGATTCTTGCAGTTATTATCATCGAATAGCTTTGTAGATAACTGTTTTTCCCCTGCTGGGTAAATATTACTTACTTCAGGTGAGTATGACTTCCATGAAAGTGGGATATCGCTTGGCTGCGTGCAACCGCAAATATCAAGTATATTTGTTTCAGGGTCTTCATCATCAATTACAATCTCCAACTTGCCAATCGCGACCCAATCATCAGCATCTGACATAATATGAAAATGGATAAATTATTACCTTGGTATTCAAATATTATCGAAAATCAGTATATCAGTATATCACGATATAGTCATAATATTAACTGTATAAAAACATCAATATTTTTTAATTGTTCTGATCATGAAGTTATCTTTAATCTTCGCTAGGGAACCGTGAATGTATTGTACACAATCATTTACTTATTTATATTATTATACCTCTACTGAGTTTTCCTTATATAAAAACAATGCGATAAAATCTTCTATTTCCCTAAAATCACTTAAATCTCTCAATCTAAGGGTTACTCCCTTCCCAAAAAAGGACTACTCCCTGCACGAAAAGATTATTCCCTGCAGTAAAGAGGACTACTCCCTCATGAATATGTGTAGGCGGAGCTTATAAAATTTCAACCAATGGAGATATCTGGTAGGCGGGGCCTTCTCCGTGACGCAGGTGACGTCACATTTTTTGGCTGCAGTTTGATTTGATATCAATGAATCATCAAAATATTCTTCATTCTTTTTCTTGTATAACCGTGATGTTGTTCTACCAATTGAAAACTTACTTCAGACGCGTCGTATTTTTGAAAGAACCTCACAACATTACCAAAAAGAAATATCAATCATTCATTGTAGTGCAGAGTTTGAAACAAAATAGACAAATATGCAGATCAGAATAGAAAATAATAAGTTTCATGTAATATATAAAAACACCACATGAGGAAAAATAAGCTCCAAGATAAATGGCACCCGTACCTATAGAACAGTGAATTAAAAATTCACCAGTTACTTTTATTGTCAAAAACTAGTACGACGGTACTACATGAAGCACAAAATCACATTCTGAACACTTGAGGCAAGCTGATATAGATGAATGGGAGATACCGACGGGTAATTCCGCCCGTCCAATGAGAACACAACTATTTGTAGTACAGCCAGGAGATAGCTGCGATTCAGAGGCAAGTGCGTATGTTGATTAGCACTTGACACTATAATAAAGAACTTCCTCAAGGAGAGGGACAGTTTATCAGATGGCGACGGAATACCTTTAAATGAGTTATCAAAACAGATAACAAAAATAAAAACTAGAATCGCAAAAGCAAAACTGGTAAAGTAATGATAGTAAGGTAAATGCTGACCAAAATGACCCAACGAGTGAAGATAATTTAGTTTATATGTTAGTAACTGAGTAAATGTAAACCTACTATATATTTCGTATATAACGTTAAAATCGAATTAAAATGAAGATATCGCTCATACCCATTCATGATACGGCACGTAAGAATCCATCTCTTACTCAATTGTACGATGTTAAAATAAATGTAGGTAAACAAGGTAGTGATATATGAATTTGATGATAAACATGAAATAAATATTCATTTGAATAAAAACTTCAGTGAAAATTAAAATCCCAAAGTTTAGAAACACATATTGTTATTTTGTATAATGTAAGTAAAACTGAACGCACCATCTTAATTCATGTGGAATGGGAAAAGGTCATTTAAGTTAATCACTTTGCTGAGTGAAAAAATGGCGTTGATGAAGCTGTGCATGAGAAAACTTCATCAGAGGAATACCTGCTACATCAACCATTGCGATCAACGACAATCTTCACCGCTGATCAACGAGAGAAGAGAACGTAGGCGATCAGAGAGAGAGAGAGAGAGAGAGAGAGTTGTGACGTCGTGGGCTCTACCCAATAGTTAATTTAATTATTTAACGGGATTGACTTATCTTAGAGATATTTACACATCTTAGGACACATACCTATGCAACACTTGACCAAGGTGAAACGTAGGTGAATCAGGTAAATTAGAGATCACGTAAGATACAGAATTATATGACAGGTAATTGACGAGAAGCACCGTGTATACATGTATTAAGTTGTCATGTATGTATGAACCCAAAGATGATGACAGGTTTATATGTCTAAATGATAGATGATGTCTGTAGGCAATGTTAAAATATTTGTACTGGAAAACGTTTAACGGGGTACAACCTATGTTCGGGGGAGTCGGGAATTGGCCACGGGAGGGAAAGGTCAGACAGAGTATAGTTTTCGACCATGAGAGAGGACGGGCCTACAATGTAGCATTTGACCCGGGGAATGTGGCCATGGTTTGGACACAGGCCTAGCTTCTTAGCTCGAAGTCAGAGACACGTCGTGAAGTGTTACTATACGTAGATGAGATGTTGATTTACGCCTATGAATAAACCTTACTATTATCAACTGTTACGTGTGTCTGCGGCTGCTGTGTTACAGAGGATACAAAAGGTTATTGTATTGTATATGTAGGATGAAAACGGAACATTTAAAAAGAAAATAGCCAACTGACACTCGTGGTTTTCTTTTCATTTGTTCAAATGCTATCCGTGAATATTATTTTGTACTTATACTAATAATGTAATGTATAAATGCTTGATTTTTTCTGTCAGACGTTACATTCCATTTGCTACATAGAGTTTCGGTAAGATTTATGTACATTAAATAGAAGCATATACACCTAAATGAGAAACAGAGGAATTAATGCATAACTTGGAATGTGGCTATATTAATGACGGAAAATTAATAAGACAAAAAGGTAAATTACTTTAGAGAAGGAAGATGAATAAAACTTCAAGAAAAAATAATGAATAGAAAAACAAATTCCACATAATGGATTACCACACACACGTATGATAGAAAACAAGAGATGATAGAGGGATCCTACCGCCGACTATGGTAACTCTTCATTAGGTCTATGGAAGATTGATCTTTTCTCTTTTCTCCGGATATGCTTAAATGAACCGGAACTGATCAGTTGGTAAATCAATTACAACATTGTTTAATCAAATTATTCTGAAGGGGATATATTTGCTGTAAATGATATGCATAAGTTAGGAGATTTCCATGATTACAATTTAATGTGTGCATACAACATTATTGAATATTAAGTAAATAGTATATACTTCAGAAGGGTTAAATGCTTCTCCTATATATGAATACATTGTTCTCTGCAACATTGGGTACAGGGATTTGCTCGATATCATTTCCAAAAATAAAAATCAGTGTCAAAAGTCAAATAACGTCTGCGACTGTCTATGAATTTAATGAATTCAATGCATGTTAGCTTTGTAATCCTGTATCGCAATAAGCTTAAGATATATGTAAACATGAATATCAGATCATCTTCGTTTAACTCAAAATCTAAACAGTATACTGAAGCAGAACAAGTAACATGTACTTTTCTTCACAAGAAAAAACCTAACAATCATTTTTACTAAAAGAATACACCTTTCGTTCGCAGCGCTGAAGAATGTGTAAGGGGTTAACTAGTAGATAGTGGATTATATGGTAGAGGGTAGAGTGTGCAGGGTACATGGAAGGGGATAGAGAGTAGAGGGTAAGGGGTAGAGTGTGCAGAATAAATGGAAGGAGATAGAGAGTAGAGGGTAGGGGTAGAGTGTGCAGGATACAGAGAAGGGGATAGATAGTAGAGAGTAGGGGTAGAATGTGAAGGATAAATGAAAGGGGGTAGAGAGTAGAGGTTAGGGGGTAGAGTGTGCAGGATAAATTGAAGGAGATAGAGAGTAGAGGGTAGGGGGTAGAGTGTGCAGGATACAGAGAAGGTGATAGATACTAGAGGGTAGGGGGTAGAATGTGAACGATAAATGAAAGGGGATAGAGAGTAGATGATAGGATGTAGAGTGTGCATGGTACAGGGAAGGGGATAGAGAGTAGAGGGTAAGGGGTAGAGTGTGCAGGGTACAGGGAAGGGGATAGAGAGTATAGGGTAGGAGGTAGAATGTGAAGGATAAATGAAAGGGGATAGAGAGTAGATGATAGAGTGTGCAGGGTACAGGGAAGGAGTAGATAGTAGAGGGTAGGGGGTAGAGTGTGCAGGATAAATAGAAGGAGATAGAGAGTAGAGGGTAGAGGGTAGAATGTGAAGAGTACATGGAAGGAGATAGAGAGTATATGATAGGGGTAGAGTGTGTAGGGGACATAGAAGGGGATAGAGGATGTGGGTAGAGGGTGCAGGATACATGGAAGGGGTAGAGAGTAGAGGGTAGGGGGTAGAATGTGAAAGATACATGGAAGGACATAGAGAGTAGATGATAGGGGTAGAGTGTGTAGGGTACAGGGAAGGGGATAGAGGATAGAGGTAGAGTGTGCAGGATACATCGACGGGGTAGAAAGCAGAGGGTAGGGGGAAGGGGGGGCAGGGGACAGAGAAGAGGATAGGGGTAGGGTGTGCCGGGTGCATAGAGGGGGATAGAGGATAGGGGTAGAGTTTGCAGGATACATCGACGGGGTAGAAAGTAGAGGGTAGGGGGTAGAGTGTGCAGGATAAATGGAAGGAGATAGAGAGTAGATGATAGTGGGTAGAGTGTGTAGGGAACATAGATGGGGATAGATGGTAGGGGTAGAGTGTGCAGGGTACAGGGAAGGGGATAGAGAGTAGAGGGTAGGGTGTGCAGGGTACAGGGAAGGGGATAGAAAGTAGAGGGTAGGGGGTAGAGTGTGCAGGGAACATAGAAGGGGATAGAGGGTAGGGGGAATAGTGTGCAGGATACATGGAACGGGGTAGAGTGTGCAGGGTAGGGGGTAGAGTGTGCAAGGTACAGGGAATGGGATATATTGTAGAGTATAGGGGTAGGGTGTGCAGGGTACAGGGAAGGGGATAGAGGATAGAGGTAGAGTGTGCAGGATACATGGAAGGGGTAGAAAGTAGAGGGTAGGGGGAAGGGTGTGCAGGGTACAGAGAAGAGGATAGGGGTAGAGTGTGTAGGGTACATAGAAGGGGATAGAGGATATGGGTAGAGTGTGCAGGATACATGGAAGGGGTAGAGAGTAGAGGGTAGGGGGTAGAATGTGAAAGATACATGGAAGGAGATAGAGAGTAGACGATAGTGGGTAGAGTGTGTAGGGAACATCGATGGGGGTAGATGGTAGGGGGTAGAGTGTGCAGGGAACATAGAAGGGGATAGAGGGTAGGGGGAATAGTGTGCAGGATACATGGAACGGGGTAGAGTGTGCAGGGTAGAGGGAAGGGGATAGAGAGTAGAGGGTAGGGGGTAGAATGTGAAAGATACATGGAAGGAGATAGAGAGTAGATGATAGTGGGTAGAGTGTGTAGGGAACATCGATGGGGATAGATGGTAGGGGGTAGAGTGTGCAGGGTACAGGGAAGGGGATAGAGAGTAGAGGGTAGGGTGTGCAGGGTACAGGGAAGGGGATAGAAAGTAGAGGGTAGGGGGTAGAGTGTGCAGGGAACATAGAAGGGGATAGAGGGTAGGGGGAATAGTGTGCAGGATACATGGAACGGGGTAGAGTGTGCAGGGTAGGGGGTAGAGTGTGCAAGGTACAGGGAATGGGATATATTGTAGAGTATAGGGGTAGGGTGTGCAGGGTACAGGGAAGGGGATAGAGGATAGAGGTAGAGTGTGCAGGATACATGGAAGGGGTAGATAATAGAGGGTAGGGGGTAGAGTGTGCATGGTACATGGAAGGGGCTATAGAGTAAAGGGTAGGGGTAGATTGTGCAGGATACTTGGAAGGGGATATAGAGTAAAGGGTAGGGGGTAGAATGTGCAGGGAACATAGAAGGGGGTAGAGGGTAGGGGATATATATTTGCTGTAAATGATATGCATAAGTTAGGAGATGTCCATGATTACAATTTAATGGTTGCATACAACATTATTGAATAGTAAGTAAATAATATATACTTCAGAAGGGTTAAATGCTTACCTAGAAAGGTAAAAAGTATTGGGCAGAGTGTGCTGGGTAGGGGTAGGGTGTACAGGGTGCAGGGTCAAGGATCCGTGGCACAATATAAGAGGTAAAGGTAAGAAGGTACATGGAAAGGGAATAGGGTAGAATGTAGAAATTACAGGGTTCATGTTAGGAAACATGTTAAAGGATAAGGCGACAGGGTACATTACAGAAAGTAGGGGAAGGTGATAGGAGTGCATGGTACTGGTTAAGGCGTATTAGGTAGAAAGTGGAAGCAGAAATTATAGGGAACAGAGTACAACGAACAGAGCAGGGGATAGAGTGAAGGGTAAAAGTTACATAAGAAGGGTTAAGTGTAAACGATAAGAGGTTATACATCGGAAGGTATAGGTACTGGTGCACATAACAGGATCAGGATCAAAGGAAAGAGGTAGAGGGTACAGAGTACTTCTTATTTGGTAGAGGATAGTGCGTGGAGGGCTGAGTGTAGAGGCTACAGGGTACTTAGTATTTGGTAGAGGATAGTGCGTAGATGGCTGAGTGTAGAGGGTACAGGGTACTTAGTATTTGGTAAAGGATAGTGCGTAGAGGGCTGAGCGTATAGGGTACAGAGTACTTAATATATGGTAGAGGATAGTGCGTGGAGGGCTGAGTGTAGAGGGTACAGAGTACTTAATATTTGGTAGAGGATAGTGCTTAGAGGGCTGAGCGTATAGGGTACAGAGTACAGTCTAGATGAAAGAGGGTGAGATTGAGGGTAGATAGTAGAGGGTAGGGAAAGGGTTGGGACATATGGTACACGTTGCATGATAGAGGGTAACTGGAGTCGGCTTTATCGGTAAAGTATTCAATAAGTGACATTGTCTTTCTATTTAAACTATGAAGATAGACGATAAAAGTACCCACTTTAATTAGCGTCAATAAACTATATGTTATATACATTCTGTGTGTCGTCGTTCTAAATGAAAGTCTCGATCATCGCTTGAACTGGACTTTTCAGCTGGTGGGCGTAGCTAACCAGCTTATTCTATCGTGATAAGAGAAGGAGGCTATGTGCAAGATAGCAGAAAATCTGGTATATATTAAATGTGGGACCAGGAATAAAAATAATGTTAACCCACCAGCTATGTGACCATTGGCCTTTTGTTTCTCCTCGTGTTGGTTTTGAAACTAGAATAATGCAGAAAACCTGGAAAAATGGGTTTACCTTTTCGATGAGAAAACAGCACTATAATTTTCCAGTCCGTCTCTCCTCGTTGAAGCTGGAAGTCACTTGCGTTTTTGAAATGGTCCTTCAGTTCTTGCGTTAAGGTATTACTGGGCAAGCCGTGGATCTCAACACAGTAAGGAATGAGGCCTTCCCGCCAGAAATCATCTTGCTCCATACCGGCGGGTGGTGTGTTTAACGAACTTGAAATCAAAGTTTATATAGCAGAGTTGATCCACATTTCGTCGAAACCCGATAAGATATATTTTATATCAAATTCCCGTTAAGAGCTCAATGTGCGGGTAGATAATGGTGTACTTTGATTGTTTTTATGCACAATGCACTCATCGATAACAGAATACAAAGATATGTACAGATTGTGTCACTATGTATTATTCATATGAGGAAATAATGTGTGTGGTCATATAACCAGTTTTCTACTGGTGTCTGCGCACATCGCTACAATGTTACACCCCTTGGCCATTAGCTATCTAAACGACGAAGCGTCACTTCTTTGGTTCTGTTATTTATCTATTATAGAAGGTTGTATCAGTATTGTGTGTGCTTTACTGATGGTGATCTAGTCGAAATTCTCTTAGTTCAAAATGAAAACAACTAAATGTCTGCATTCTATAATGAGTTTCAGTTATAACGAGCGTTGTTTTATTCTTTAGCAAATGCTTCGATATATTTTAAAACATTCTGTTATCAATCAACAGGATATTTTCAAATTTTGCAAATGTATACTTTCTTTCCTGCATATATGTATGTTTTGTATGGCGTCTCGTTATATTTGCTTTTTTCTATCTGACTTGAGACCTTTTTTTTTTTTAACTTGTGTTGATACTTTTTTCTCTTGAATTGACATTCCAAAATTCGGAATAGCCTTGAATTTGATCGGTCACCATATCTCCCATTACGGAAAGTGGTAAAATTCCAAGATATGTGACATGTTCCCAAGAGGATTAACAATATGACAAGTTCATGTGATGTTAAGTAAGACAAGCGCCTGTGTTATGTACTCGCACTGTATGTAATTCCCTTGATTTACCTATATAAAATGTTGATGTACTATTTATCTGTATGACATTTGTCTGTAATGTTTACCTGTATTTTGCATGCTTTTTGAGACATATGTATTTTGACCTATTTGTATAATATTATTCTTGTTATATGTTCTTTGTTTGATGATTACCTGTATGACATGATGATATTGTTCCTGTGATGCGTACATTTATGTTCTGATCATGTTTATGTATAGAGATAACGGATTGTGTTGGTCAAGTGTAGACCTCATTTAAAGACAATAACAAACGCATAAAATAAAATAGAAAAGATAGTTTTATTATTTTAGAATTGATGAAACTATTCATAAGTAGAATTGTTTAACACAATTTTGATTTACCATTCCTTTCATGTTGTTCCATTGAACTCAATGAACAAGTTGACAATGCACGTGTTGTGATGATGGGCTAGAGAGGTGTTTTATAAATAAATGTTGAAACAATTTACGAAAAGTGAGAAATTCAAACACACTATATTTAATAAAGGTTTCCATGAAACTGGATGTAAAGTTAATGTAGTTTTAAACTATTTCCACCATTTTGTGTACAATACTTGCTATGTGTAAAAAACAAAAGAACGTAAACAGTAAGGGAGAATGAGTTCAGTATAAAAACATAAATACATTTCCTCTCGATTCGCAATTAATTAAATTGGGTATGAGACACAAGTAGTGAAATATATACTGTCTTGCAGTTGACCTTCTTTACTGTTATTATATTTTTGTTGTTTAATGGCTGCTAAATTTGAATTTAGTGGCATTGGGCAATGGGACCAGTGCTGTTAACACATCACTTCATGCAAAGGCCTCATTCTTGGCATCTTCGCTAGCCAAGGGTTGATCCGGTACGATCTAGGTAGATCGTACCGGATCAACCCTTGGCTAGCGAAGATGCATTATTGGCATAAGTCACATAGTATGCGAAATTCAAAGTCCAACTAGATTGAAAGGAATGGTTATGTGTAGAAATTGCACAAACATTAAAACCGATGCTATATATATATATACATACCTTACAAAAAAAGAATGGTTCCCGCTGATTTTCGAAAATAGAAAATCAATTAAAAAAACCCATTAAAACGTTATTATGATTTTTCGAGTACCAAAAATTATTTTTTTTGTTTTTACCACAACTTCATTGAACAGAATGTGTCAAAAAGTTAAAAGATAAGTGTATATTTGACTTTGATTCATAATTAGCTTCTTCATACAATAAGTAAACTATCACTGCCATACCATTTATGATAAAGATAAAGGATCCCTGTCCAACTGTTGGCAAAGCAAGAAGATTATTTTTTCATGCGTGTAGTTGTCTCCCCTTAATTACGTTTTAGATATAGCTATTATGGGACTAGGTCAGCTAGCTATCCCTGATTAGTAACAGCTCATTTGGTTAGAGAGGTCGTATTGTTATAGGAAATCTAGCGTTTTCAACCAAGGAATTACGTTTGTTGATTTATTTCATTTCATATTTATCATAATCCATAAAGATTTCGCAAGATAATGATTCTTTTTTCATTTATTAAAGTCATTGTTATATCGGTTAAAAGATTCCAATCTAACTTAATGTTTTTGGCAGTGGTACAAGGATACTCATATATTCCTGGAAGCTAATGTACATAATGCTTAAATATAGCGAAAATCAACGGGGACCTATCTCTTATATAAAAGTTACAATCATAAAACGATGTAACACTTCTGCGTCATACGCTAGAAATCCTACTGGCGAAGGAAAAACAAAAATACTGACCAACCCTAAGGTAAGGTATCAAACAGCAGTCTTCTTATGTTCTTTATATTTCGATATTTGAATTTTTCCTCGACAGTAGAATCCTAGATTGATATCAGCATACATGTTTATTGTAGCTCTACAAACATTGATTTTACACACATCTGCGTCATTATTTAGCGATACCACCAATATTAGAGATATCACAGTAGGACATCCCCGTCGGTAGGATATTACACAGCATATCAGCAGGTTGGTATACAATACAATGCTTTCTAGTCATGATAATAATAGTACACACTTAAAACAGTTCTTCATGATTAAACATATCATTTTAAGTAACAAATTGGTGCACAAACATCCTAATTAATTAAAAGTTTTATTCATCAATGACAACATTTTTCTGGGAAATGTATCGTGTGTTTGTTTAAAACCAGAATTTTATTATCTGAATTTATAACTTTTATTGTGAAAAAAAGAATGCTTAATATGGTTTAAGGTCGACTATATATTCGACAATTGACATGTCTAATAAGCTATAGTTTGTACGGCAAATACAATCTTATTGTAATAGTAAGAAAGTGTCAGTCAAAATCGTTGTAAAAAATTAAGTTGGAGAATCCCAAGAATCAGAGGACTAACAATAGCCATTTTTATCAAAGACGCTTAATATATCAAAAATATTGAATTGATTTCTGAAAAAAACGCGTCTGTCGATATCCAATTTCATAAAATGCAATTGTAGCCATTTATATAAAAGACATTGGCTTTATCAAACAAATCAAATCGATTTCAAAATATAACACTCTTCCATCAATATCGAATTACATACGATGCAATTTTCATTATACTATTAACGACGTTTTTCAATCTAATGTTTTTGTGAATACAAATTTTGAACAATAAAACGTAACTCAATGAAACAGTTCTAGAATGGATTTGTTTTTACCAAATGTTTACATTAAATCGACTTTTTCTATTCAATAACAGTTTGGCCAGTATTCATGAAACATTGTGCTCAAAGCCAGATTCTTTGATTTAGTCCAATATCTTATTCCGGTAATATATTATTGATACCAACGTTTTTACCTAAGATCTCGAAGAATGTTCGAAAACCTGTGGTCGAATACAATTGTCAGTAATTATACCTTACTTTTGATAATGTCAATGCATTATCTCAGCAAGATACACATAAGAATTATTGCTTGAGATTGATTATTACGAGCAGATCATCATATTTGTTTGAAAATAATCTTTCTTTTATTAATAATGACGTAAACATAGGACAGGAATGATATCTGGTAAAAATAATTATAATAATAATTCGAGGTTCTTATATTCCGCTTTATCAAAACCTTATTCGTAAGTCGTCTCAAAGTGGTTCACACATTATTATCCATGGTTATAAGGCCTTTGCAACAAGCCAATATCTTTCTCAACTCCATCAAGGAAACATTCAACTGGCGCTGCCATTTCGGCGCTCACAGCTAGCATTCAACAATTCCAGCACTGCCCAGCCACGTACTGATTTACAGCTAAGTAGACTGGAAGAAACAAAGTAAAGTAGCTTGTTCAGAGATACAAAACAGTGCCATGAGTGACTCGAACCCGCAACCCTTCGGTCACGAGCCCTGCGTCATACCACTAGACTACCGTGCCTCCAAAATAACACATAGTGACGCTACAAATTTGTTCCCTGGTAACGATATAATAATGCAAATGAGCTCCGAAACACTACATTAACATACATTTGCCAAAACCACTTCAATGTGTGAGATCCACCTTAAGATGTGCTTGTCATCTGATTTACAATCATAGGACATGGAGGAATAGCAAACAAAACATGTTTTACTTCAATTAACAAATAGTTATGTAGTTGTAACGGGTAACAATATGTTACAGAAATAAAAGAATATTCGTTCATTTGTTATATCAGGCAATACATATTAACTACAATAAACAAATATAGTTCTAATAATAGTAGGCATTATGCTACTCTACAACAATTAAGATAACGTTCTGGTTATAACGGGCGATATATAGGTTACAAATATGGAACGTGGTACAGAACCATGGCTATATATCAATCATATATTTATTACAACAGCATAGGAATAATTTGACGGACAATTTAAATATATTTTTACAAGTAATGCTACAGTTTTCTGACAGGTCTTATGCATAACGTCTTACAGTGATGGTAATAAAACGAATGGATGTTGTCAGACAAAAGTTTATAAAGTACGATCATTGTTACACGTAATTCCAAAATATATTTTAGTGTCCACTGTTCTTATTATTACATATACAATGTAGGTTTAAATCAAACTGTTACTCTGGAGACTGTTGGTTAATATGCTAAAGTGTAATAAACCTGGTGCAATAGAAACTAATAAAATGATAACTGATAATCCTTATTCATGATATCATCTTTAATCGAAAAAAATAAAAAAAATATCAACCCAACCATTAATTCTCTTAAGTGATGTTTTTTTATTATGGTTTGAGTGATTTTAAACATTTTAATTAAGATGTTGAAAAAATAATTTAGCTGTTAGTTTTTCATCAAGTCGTAACGAGAAATAAGAAACATAACTATGATTTAAAATTTAAAACACATCTAAATATAAATTAGTAAAATATTAGAAAAAATGTACAACCTTATGCTTAAGATAACTCTCTACTGAGTAAACATGTTACCGCACTTTTAATGTTATATATAAAATAAACCATCAAACTATCAAACAAAAAATTAATAAAATATACAAATATCTATATGTTTACAATAATTTAAGATATATGCTATTGTTGTTGGTTTACCCCCTACAATGTTAAGAACTCGCCATATTCCCTTTGGACAAAGCATTCAAGGCTATTCCTTCGTTACCGGAAATCAATTACCACTATAAATGTGCTTGCTATTTTTACACAGAACCAATAACAGTTAGGCATGTATTCATAATTTAGTTATTTTATATTCAATATTTACAATTTTTAAACATTTTCTTACAGTTAACTAAAAATTAAATCCATAAACCTCATACAACAGTTTATAAAAATCATCATCTCCCATTATTTGTAAGGATTTAGTGCACTCACTTACATACAGCTGAAGAATATAGCAAATGTATTAAAGGAAAAGGTTGTCAAAACCAAATCCCTATCTTCACAAGAATGTATGAATTAACATTTACAAAACGGATATTCCTAATTATCATGACTGAACAGAATATTTATAAAACATGCTTTAAAACTATGGACAATTAATTCAAACAAAGCTACAAATCCTCATAGTCTTTTAGCTTGTTTGTCACCTATAGTATGTTCTATATACAGCAATGGAATTGGTTGATGTCAGCCTTGTCTATTTTGTGAATGTTATCAAGTACTCAGGGTAAGCCTGGGTGTCGTTGAAAATGATGAACATATTTGGATTGTTCGTGTCATCGACTACAGAGTCGTATAGAATGTGACCTTTCTTTGCTGGAGGGACACGTATTCCTCCTCGTCCCTGTGTAAAGTCCCCTGCGAGGACTCGGCATCTGTACATCTTTTTCTGCCCAGCTGGGTTAGTAGGCGAGTATGTGTCTCTGGCTGAATAATTGGAGCTGCACGCGAAGTACACACCATCGCCATGAACAGTTGCTGTAATGATAAGTTAACAATGTATATGGATTCTGAATTGTCATTATTTTATGTTTGTTTATATGTTGAGGGGACTTATATTCATACCATTGTTATTATGAGGATAACATACATAGATTCTAAAACTCTATAACTAGGTTTAAAATGGAATGCAATAATACACTTACCGTTTTTCCCACAGAAGCTTCGGTTGAAGCCATACATGTTGATACTGTCTACAGCACCCTCTGCAGTTCCATGCCACAGCATTTTCTCACTCTGCCCGCCGCAGCTTCGGTCTATCTCTGCTTTTTTAGTCACATACTGTTGGTACAGTGTCTGGTTTTGTATTCTTTCAATCTATTGACACAATAGTAAGATACATGATTAAAATATTTGGTGTTTATGCCAATATGAAAGTAAACATTTTTTTAATCAAATTTACAATTTGCTGTAAAACCTACCTTAACTATTGTGGGATTATCTTTTCCAATTGTAGCGTTGAAATCTTTCAACACGTCTGTATACTCGGAATCAGTTTCTTGCATTGGTACAACGATTACTGGATCCTGATCGGTCATCGGGGTCCATGTCGTCGGAGTCTGAAGACCGGAATCTAAGACTGACATTTAAGGAAAATAATTAAGAAGATACTTTAAATAATCGAATTGAAGTTGATACGGGAATATTACTTTGCTTATAGATTATCAGCCGACCAACAAACTAACAAAAAGTTTACTTACCTTTGGTTGCCTGTAGCTTGTCTTTCCGTAAAACTTTCGCCCGGTCGCTCTGATCATGGACAGGATATTCTTCCATGGTCGAAAAGTCAATTTCGTAGCGGGTACCGTTTTCATCACAAAATGTAGCGTTTGGTTTTTGTTGTTGGTAGTCGTTTTCGATCGTATGGTTTAGTTCCTCTGGATAAGGTAGCAGTTTTCTACCGTCATCGCCTTCATCAATTACTGACCATTCTACACATTTCGCGGTGATCTTTTCTCTCTCTTTCGTCAGATGCAATCTTTGAATATCCATAATCATGTGATCGATCTCATTTGAAGCTTTTTTAACATTCACAGGCAAACCTGATAGTCTAATACGAGGAGGGCGTTTTTCAAATATCATCTGTACACCAAGTGATCCTTTAAATTCGTCAAGCCTTGTTCGCTGTAGTTAAAAAAATATATGATACTCGTATATATATATACACTATGCACTACATTGTCAACACAATTCCACACTTACAAGAATTTACACACTCTTAGTTCATATATCCCTAGCAACCAGTTGAAGCTCTATGTGTAACTAAAATAAACTTTTTAAAGTTAAATGTATGTTAGCTTCTAGAAATGCAAGGAAAGGTCAAGCCAATGATGTAAGCCACAATATTTATTCGATTTACTACTCATCTGCAGTACTAAATGCATGAATTAGCTAAATGAATGAGTCCGATCTTGTGAATTATATTAATATAATGTAAAGAACGTTTCAAATCAAAACGCTCCAGTGATTGAAATGCAACAAAAATGGAAGAGCAGGTAGGAGAAAATAAATAAAGTCCAACTGTTCCTAACTTCTATTAATCGTATCATTATTGAAATATAGAAGAGTTTGTACCATACCAGTATTATCAACGGCTTATGAAAAAAGGAGCGTTATTTGCCAAAGGATGCTTTATACCTAATTTGGTTTAAGTACGTCCATTCGTTTTGAAGGAAAAACATTTTCAAACCGATTGTTTCTTTCTTTCCCCTAATGGGACCGCTCTCCTGCCCCAAGGGAGCAACACCTTCCTTTTATACAATGTTTAGTCCCTTTTTCCTACAGATGATATAGAACAAATTTGTTGATAATACCTATATTTATACAAAAGAATACAGTTTTTAAAAGAGTTATCATTATATTCCCTATTGCGGGCCATACCCTCTATTTATAAAACGTTTAGAACCCTTTGGCCAAATATGTTATAGAACAACTTTGATAAAACCATCCTATAGTTAAGAAAGTGACGATTTTTGAAAATGTACCTCTTTTTGCCCTATTTGGCCCGCCCATCTGCCCCATGGGGCCATACCTCCCGTTTCAGACCAAATTAAGTCAAAACCTTTTAGCCGGAAAGGACTGAGAGCGTTTTAAAGGAAAAGTTAGCGGACGACGGACGCTGTGCCAGGGTATTGCCTCACTTAACCGTTAGTACCAGGTGAGCTATATAAATGATAACATTTCTGTATCTGTTTATACGTACTTGGGTGTCCGAAAAATCCTTAATTAAAGGATCGTCAACAATATGTTCGGTTATATTTTTGTCGCAAAAGAATTCTACATCTCTGTAAGCGGCATCAAGAGAATTTTCAACTTCCCCGTATATGACGAGAGTGATGCTGGACACTGAAGATAGTTCGTCAGTCTTATATCGAAATGACATGTCCGGAGGCGCAAAACCTTGGGAGGTAAGCAAATCATATTAATTTGATTATTGATCATATATCTATTATACATGCTGATAAACCAGAGGCACAAAGTCTGTTATTTTTCGTTATCAAAATATTTTATTGATAGATTGAACAATCAAATGGAATGCATAAAAGGCAAGCCTATATAAATACGTCTTCTTTATAGGTAACATGGTAACATACCCCAAGGTGGCGTATTGACATTATATATCATTTGGATGTACGCCCCTTTCTATGAAAACTGATAAGTATCTATTGACATCTATATAGTATAAAAGCAATGGAATGGTTACTAAACCCCCATCCTCATTTAAAAGGAGGTGAACGGCTAAGAGCCAAAGTTATAGAAGCGTGTCAATTTAAAAACTCCAGGAAACACCAAAAAATATTCATGATATTTATGATAAAAAAATTATGCTGAATTGTGAATACATTATGAGGCACCTAAATATAATCTGAAGTATGCATGGGCCTCATGTAAAAAAGAAATAACTCTTTTAATATCAGAAACCTTATCCGTTTTCAGACGGGATCATGCAAAAACGTCCTAGATCGACATCAAACAATTAGGTGTAAATGATAAGCTTTGTTGAGCAATCATCACTTTTATCAGACATGTATCGTCATATCATTCATTCTGATTTCTTCGAAATATAAGAAAATTTGTAATAATAAATGGCAAACTCAATTGATTCAAGTATATGTGTTACATGAATGCTATAAATGAATCAAAAGAATAAGAGAGCTTTATTTTATACTAAATATTGTGAACCTTTGACATTCATGATTTTGAACAGCATTTTAACAAGAAAGTATTCCCGTTCAGCATAACAATCAACCTGTTTGAAATAGATGATTATTTCCTGTAAACGAGATAACTATCTTTCAACGAAACAAATATCGTATTTTAACGAGATAAATATCGTGTCTTAGCTTCTACTGTTTCATAGTTAGCACTTTCTAAGGAGGTAACTGACGCGTTTTTTAACTTGATAATAGAACTTAAATGACATAATAACCGCTTTTTAAAGAGATTACCATATACAATGTGCATAACCTTGAAATTTCTCATCTTTTCCCCCCTTTTACTTTTTACCCCTGATGTAACATCTGTAAAGTCCGTTTGCCATGTAAGAATCATTTCAATTTAATGTAACAAAAGGATTCTCACCAAGTGGTCTCCTGATGTATTTTCCAATCATTCCTGGTCTGTTTGATTCTACGTATTTCTTTACATTTGATGAAACGTCTGTAAAGTCAGTATGTTTGGTAAGAACCACTTCAATTTTCTCTAACTTCTTGAATGAGTTTCCAGTAATGACTTTGCATAATGTCTCACTAAACATTCTTGTTTCTGAAAATGATACCCAAATTGTATAAAGGAAGTAATGTATTGTAAAAAGAGATGTTTTTCGGAACGGTTGTCCCAAATCATTAAAGAAGGAAGTAAACGCTTATTTGTATGCTTGATCTCTCTGCCTTTCTCTTTATCTCTATCCGTGCGTGTGTGTATTTGTAAGGATTTATGTGTTTGTATGTACATATAAAGCAGATAACCAGCAATTACTTAATACATGTGCTGATATTAAAGCATATTCCTTCAGCCGACCGGTAGACGAATCCCAAACACAGGACAATATCCATCTGGAAGTCGTGTATCATGAGATTCAATAGATAAAGAAGTACATCCGAGATAGTGAATAAATCTATAAATCCAGTTAGCTAGTGAATTTAATTAATTTATAGGAGCTTACTTAAATCAAATCATTACTAATAAGTTTTAAAATTATATTTTCAAATAATTTATCACAAAGCCAAAACTTAATTATGAGTATCTGTTTAGTGCGGAATGCAAATGCTGATCCGGATATTGTTTACAGTCATGTTGCAGTAACCGTTTAATTTATTAGGCGACGTAACAGAACTTCCTTTTTCTAGAACATACCTATGCGGCAGGCTTTCTGACTCTGAAGACAATTGCAAATGTTTACCCTCCCACACACCCAATTAGAATATTTTATGACGTCAGTGTTTTTCTTTTTGCAGATGATATCCGTTCATTCTAACGTCGTGGTATATTGTGTGATGCTCAAGGAAGAGCACATGGGACTGGTGAGCATGATCTCCGTGGAGAGTTTTTCATGTTGAGGACTGTTTAGCATAAAATTTCAGATCACCTGTTACTTTAGCACAGTTCAATGATAAATTGATGCATATCAATTTCATAGTTAGCTAGAAATTGGGTGATTCTTTGTTCCCAATGGTCACTCCAAATTATTCTTATATATATTTATATACCACGACAATAACTTGCCAAGACATAAGTATTAAAGATAAAATTAGTTGAAATTGTTGTGTTGTGGTTAATTTGTGGCCATTTGATAATATCTTCAGCTGTGTATGACGCGTGCAGGATTCTATGGATATTTCAGTAAAATAAACACCAATAACCCGGAATTTATATTTTGCAAGAAAAGATGACCAAGGGAAACAAAAAATAAGAGGAGCAGTTTATCTGAAAAATATGTCCTATTACGTATGATAATGAAGGCGATATGCAACGAAGTTCCACCAAAAAACCGACACTTGCCGCAAAATAAACCACTGTGAAGTGGTTTGTTGAGTCATTAAAACAGTTTATATATAATTTTAAACATACCTGTAGAAATCAGTGGCACAGCAAGAGATTTATGTCCCTCTTCATCAGCTTTTGTCAAAGCTAGGCGCAGTGATTTTTCCAAATCTCCTTGGGTGTTGACCAAGATGATTGATTTACTTTTCATTCCTTTAATCGGTATCAAGGCAATGCCGTGCCGTGATAATGTTTTTTCTGAAATGAATTTTTGCATTAAAAAGTATCAATTTTGTTAAAACTGTTTATTACAGGAATAAATACATTCATATTAAATTATACCCACTCCTTTTTGAGACTTCCTTGTCCAAATCCCATCCTGTTCTCTGTTGAATGGCGTATGCAACTCCGTCTGAAACGTTAAGAACTCAAGTGAATTAAAGCATACATTTTTTTTATTTCGGAGCATTGAGTTTGCAATTTGCACGATTACATTATCTATTAACGTTTATTATTTTTTTAGTATTATTTGAATTTTTTCATTCTTTTCTTGTGTGTGTGTTCGGGTACGTGTGTGTGTGTGTGAGTGTGGGTGGGGGTATCATGTATATATATGAATATAAGTTTATTACATTCGTACCTGTCATATTGCAATGCTTGTCTGTAGAACAAACAATAGCTTCACACGCAGCTTCAGTGATGTTTCCAACTCGGATAGTTACAGTGGCAGGTCCAAAAGTTGCCTCTGCTTCAGAGGTTGACGCGGGCTTTCTTGATGATTTTGTTTTCGGCATATCTAATATACAAGCAAATAATTGGCTTATTCATATGGTACTGCTTTGGTGATTCGGCGATGTTAATGTACTTTTCATTGGTTAATAAGCAAGAACGACTTGGTAACGGAAACTACACACGTGTCACTATTTCTGTTCAATAAATTTTCTTTCTTAATTACTTATCGCTGTCATGTTCGTAACATGCAAATTCTTTTTTGGGCATCCGCACTGACATCAGATTGACGTTGCAGAATGTATCTTTTAACAAACAGCTACAGAATGAGTTGCTTTACGGTATTTGCGGTCAAGTTACATTTTGGATTTCGTTACGTTTAAATTTAATTATTTCGTAACGTCCGGAAATATTGCTTAAGACACAAACTTATCAGTTAAACTTTGATGAGGTTATATGACTCTAACTGTAGCTTGTAATGTGTAAGATAACAAAATCTGTATAACAGTGATGATCAAAAATTTCTCAAACTTATTGCTAGATATTTAATCGAAATTGACAACAACAATTTAAAATAAAACAACCGCTATATCTCCTCCTATCAAGGAGATTTCAGATCGATTGAAACGTGTTTAAGGTTTACTAAGTCTCAAAAAGATGGTGCAATCTATAATACGGCATTTAGGCCGATATCTTCATGAAGATACATTACATTTATCAACTCTTGGGACCAAATTGAATGCTACGAAATGAAATATTTTCTAAAATAAATGTATAAACCAAGATCATCCGGACTTAATATCTATTTTAATATGTGTGAAAAGGTTCAAACTAAGACGGTTGTAGTTTTGAGAAATAATGAAAAACCTAGTAAAAACAATTTAAAGTATTTACTATGTATGACTCGCATTGATCACATTACGGGAAAACAAAACACGTTGTATTCCTCACGTACTCTATTTTCTCCGTTCATATTTCCATTATTCAGTCTCCCTTCTAAATTGGGCATAAGCCATCACAACCGAGTACGAGTGACTCAAGCAGACGACAACAATGGCGCATTTAGCTGATAAGCATTAATATTGTGCGACATCTATCAATTTATCTTGGCATACAAAATGTATTGCCCTCTTGTAGTATGGAAAGGCGAGTCTTTGTGTCTCTCAATAGCACATGATTTATATCATAGAAACAAAAATCCTGTTTCAATGTTTGTTAGTTTGTTTACTTTTGATTTTATTTGTTGAAGATAGATTGATTGGAATATGCATCTAGTTGAAAGCATGATGTCATTGTATGTCATATACCAAATTAACGAAGGGGACGTGCTCAGGCAGCCGGCACGATTTGTTTGAATAATTTCTAGTTACTGCATAATAAATTAATAATTTGCGAAACCTCTTCCACCACAAATCAAGCTTATATAGGGAAAAAGGACAACTGTTGAATGCGTCAGAAAGACAAAATTCGCAGATTGTTGTGAAATGAAGACAAATGCATCACGTGTCAAATGTTTGAAAAATCACAAGTAGTCTAATTTACGTAATATTTATTTTAATTTTATAATTTCCTTTTTTGAAACATTTTTCAGCATTACAGAATAATTACAATATTAATTTACGTAATATTGTTATCTAAATAAAATTGCAAACTTTGACGCATTTCAAAAGAAGTTGACATAAAGACACATTGTCATTATATTTTATTTTACGAGGTAGAATAGATATACACCACATTTCGTATTTATTGGTGGAAAATAAACCTCGGAGCTGCTTCCGTGTGTTATTTTGTCCAAAAACATCAAACATCCCTAATAAATTCCACCAAAAAGTGCATATTTGTTAATTATTTTTTAAGTGTAATGCTTATTAATACTTCTTTGTACATTTGTTGATGTTACAAATGTTTTAAATATTTAATTGATTATACTTACTTGAGTTGTTGGGTTGTTGAAGAGAAGCAGTACTTTTGAATATTCGTTTTTGTCTCCAATTAACATCCGAGTCCGATTGTGTAGGAACATCTGAGTGACCGCTAGCAGATGACCATTTGGTTTCCTCGTTTTGAAAGGCCTGGTATTACATATGGAATAGAAATTCTTAGCTCGCAATACCAAAATATATAAAAGCGGAAATTACAGGAATCCGTTAAGTGAGATCATGTGTGATACAGAAATTCTACCGAGATCACGGACAATTCTGAATCCCTGACCAAAACTATCGCAACTATTAGGGGTTGTTTTAAATGTAATGATTATTGATTCGACCACAGCAATCGACAACGAAAAGAAGGAATCGGGACTTGTCGGTAAACGAAAAATGTCTCCAGCGACTCATCCTCAAATAAGCATGGCGACCCCTCTTTACTTCGGACAACTTCATCATCGCTTGTTTAAAATTTCCAAATAAAACATTCGAATATGGAAAAATATGCATATAATTACCCCTTCCATAGACGTTCGTCTGTCGGGTTAGTCACGCTTCAGTGATTTTGATTACTAAATTCCGGGAGAAATCCTGACAGAAAACGTTATCGACTTTTTCAAATACATGTACATCACATCTTTTTGGTAATCGCGTTCTTTTCCCTTTCAGTATGCGTTATCAATTAGTGACCGAAAAATTGAAGTGTATTGATGATTAACGTGTTTCTTATTTTGATTTCCTTTTATATATATTAAAGCAAATCACTCGAAAATATCTATAGATATATTCTATTTGGCTGTAGCGTTCTGTAATGGTAACGAGAAAAAGGAGAAGCGCGTAAAACAATCGCGAGGTCGAGTCCCGCACCCCACTCTAGAAGACAGTGTTATACATTTAATTCACGTATTATATAGATATATATAATGTCCGCGCCTTTCCCCAATACTTACCTGAATTGATTTGTCATCTTTCTCATATATGACGAATTGAACCTCCTTCAGGGTCTTTGGATCGAATTCGTTGACAATTTCGAACATTTCTGCAGCAACAATATCATGAGGGTACCCAAGGTTGCCAGTTCCCAGAGCTGGGAAGGAGATTGATGTCATCAATTCATCGTCTGCCATTTGCAGGCAACGTCTAATAAAATCTTGAAATTGCTGTAAATTGACAATGAAGAAAAATGGAATATCAACGGAATAGTTTTTATAATTTGAAAAAAAAAGTATGTGGCAGTCTAATTAATCTTGTGTTCTATATTCATTATTCTGTGTATCTCATTAAGATATATTTTACTGAAATTAGCCTTCAATTTCCCTCACTCTGTAAGATATTCTCGATCCAATGAAATTGAGTAGTTGTGTAACATTCACGTGAAGTATTGAAGAGCATAATTAGAGAGGTAATTAATTTTCCTTTATTTAATTTGAATTATTTTTTTCGTTTCTCACTCTTGTACTAACAGATAGGAATTGATGTGAAATCACCAGGCTTTGTACTCAGCTTTGCATCTAAGATGGCTCCCGAGGCCTCTTATTATTTGGATTTAAATATTATCTGATTTCGATCATATTTGCTATTACGTTATATCTTTGCATTATTTACTATAAGGTGGCAGTTTTGTGAACATTTAATAAAAAATATCTTTTGATGGCGGTGTTTTATCGTCCATTCGACTTTTGTGACAATGCAGGTAAAACGTTTAACATAGACCCCAATACTAAAATTGAACCCGGGTCAGTTTTCACCGACAAAATTGGAACCTATTTAGTTTTTCTTTTCATCACTCCCGTTACCTATCTAAAAGTATATCTGATGTAGAACCTAACGTAACAAATCTGATTTTCCCAGTACGTTTCATGATGTTACACCCATGTTAACAATTATCAGTGGCAAATTTAAAGAGTTATAGAATAGAATCTTTTCGACAACTATCAAATTTCAGTTATAGACAGATGTGTGTGTTTAGAGAGCTGTATGCAATACTAATTCGGCTACTAAGAGACATAGAGCTGAAGACCTTATCAAGGATTATACAAAAATAATACATTGCTTTATCCATGTGTGATATGAATGGAGGTTTCTATCTTTATGTCACAACCGACGCCACCACCACTGCATTTCATTGAAAAAGCATTAACAAATCGAAGTATGTCATCTGTAGGTATCATTACCTGAAAAGCCATGTCACTCTTATATTTATTCAATGCTCCATGGAAAATGTGTTTGCATGCGAGCTGTCCTCCTGTTGTCGTAGCCACGTTTCCGTACTGAATACCAGCTGGATAGCCAACATGACATTCGTCCTGAATCGATTGTCCTGCTGCTCTGAGGATGGAACTAGATACAGCTCCAGCTTGTAACTGTAGATCACATGACGTGGTGTTTACAATGACGTCAGTCTATAGAAAATAAAAGAAGATGTAATGCATTCATACTAAATTACTCTATTTGTATATTTTTTGCAAAACTTAATGTTCCAATTAAAAAGAAACAGTGTGTCTTACTTGCGCGGAAGCGATCTGCCCTTTGACAATCTGTATATTCAAATTTCCTCCCTTACTGGTAGCAACCCTTTTGTCTAAAATACACAAATACAAGTATGTATTAGATATATAAGCATGCATAGATATGCAACAATGAAATTGAATTTCTACCACAATACGCTGTGTTATTCCACTCTCAGATAATTGTATAAGCATGCAGACTGTTGAATAAATATGAGTGATATACCACACGTAGTATATGACCTTCCGTAGTTTTGATTGGTCGAGAAGATGAACTTTGACCGGACGAATCTTTTCACACGCTTTTTGCCGCGTGCTGTTTTGTTTACGTTGTCTGCTGTAAACATCCGGCAAATTTTGGTGACTTTTGTGAGGTTATGAGATGGGAAAAGGTGTTTATAATGCAATTCCAAAAGAAGATGATGCTTAAAGATTTTATCGCTAGTTTCAGGCAACATTGCTACAGACGCTCGATATCGTTTCGACGCCATATCGTCGCGTGTCCAGGTCGTGAAACCCAGAGACGTAATATACCGATATATGTCGTTGTAAAACACAAGCAAGATCTGTAACAGTGTCGGAAAATATTTCGTTATCTCCGTGTCCAGTTATCAATATTTGGAGGGCCTGTCTATGGCAGAACTCTCAGTATAAACGTCAACCATAGAACCTCACGAAGAAACGTCCCTAGGCCTATGGTTTTGGACATTGACAGCGATTAGATCGTCATCATCACTTGGCGGGAGGCAGACTTCGTTCGATATGCTTACGCGCATATAGTCCGTGGTTTATTTTTATTTATTAATGCAATAATGCATACTCTCAATATTTAAAGTCTCTCATCTATTTTATTTTTTCACGAAGTTGTTGCCGAAACATTAATTTTAAAAATTATCAAATTTGTAAAAGAAAAAGTCATTTTTGAATATTAATGGGTGACTTTTTACATATGGGTCATATCACTACGCCAGCCTTGTCAACAAAATGTGTGTATGCTATTCAAATCAGTCCAGATGTTTCCAACTGAGATTGTGGTAGAAACAGATCACACGACTCGTGATTGTTGAATATGGTATTTATTTCACTCTCGTTAGTTAATTTTCAAAAGTTACAGAAAGACACTCGCTAAAACTCGTGTCTTTTGTAACTTTTGAAAAAAGCTCGTGTCTTTTGTAACTTTTGAAAATTAACTAACTCGAGTGAAATAAATACCATATTCAACAACCACTCGATGTGTAACCTCTATATAACTAATGGCTTGCTACTGAAACACTTGCGTGAAATACAGATGACATTCAACGAACATGAGGATACATTCTATTTGACTTTGTTACTCTAAAATCCAAATCTCATATCTTTACAAACGTTAAGCGAATAGCTTCCAAAGACAATATAATTCAGTTTAATATATTTGAAAGTAATTTGAATTGTATACGAGCAGTGTGGTGCAAACTTTTTTATTATATAACTCAATTTGAGCAGGCATCTATTAAGATAGGTATTTTATCATTTTGAAAACAAACGCACAAACACTTATACAATATCACTTCTGGTAAGTTGATGGAATCATATATCTCACAGGCAATTAATTAATTAGAATTTCAGATAATTGTTGTTCAGTGACTATACGATTTCGTAGAAACACATTTTTTTATCATATTTGATTCTATTAATAGATTAAAGCACTGTATCACAGAATATGTTTGTAGTATTTGCAAGGAAACGATAGGATTTACCTTTCTGGCCGATGCGTTTCCATTGATCGTTAACAGGTTTCTTGTGATTTACCACGGATGCTTCTCCTAGCTGACCTTTTAGTTCCTCGGCGAAGCAGGAGACCGCTGTATGATTAATGTCACACAGGTAAATTTCATTCACAGAGGTATGTGTCTCCTCTTCCATGAATTCGAGGATTGTTTCAATGATGACATGTGTAGCTTTATCCTCAGGATATTGGAATATTCCTGTACCCAACGCTGGCATTGCTATGGATGTATATTTTCCGCGACCACATTCTTCTAGGCTCTTCCAAACAACTCCGTCAAGATATTCTTGTTCTCTTTGTTTTCCATCTCGCCAGTTGGGGCTGTTTGCATGTGCTATCATTTTACATTTCAGGTTTCCTGGTTTGCTACAGTATATGTCTCCGTCATGAAGATGACCTTTCCGTTTGACGTATTCTGTACACTCATCTTGAATACTCTTCCCACCTACATATGTTAAATTAATTATATACTGTTATACGTCTTTAGCAAATATGTTTTATTAACAGTCAAAGACTTAATATTAATATTTCTCTTGGATACTTTTCCTACCAAAGTATGCTAAAATAATTATATACTGCTGCGCCTCTTTAGCAAACATGTTTTATGAACGGTCAAATACTGCATATTAATTTCAAAAACAGTTTATCTGAGAATGTTTGCCTACCTTTTGTTACGATTGATTTTGCTAGTCCACCAGCATGATTCAGGCTACTGTTTGCAGCATTAACAATCACGTCCGCTCTCAGTTGAGTAATGTCGCCTTGGAACGTCTTGATAACAGCCCCCTTCTTTGTTGTCCCAGTTGCTATCAACTAATGGTATGAAAATAATAAAATACCAAAATTAAAGTTTTAAAGTTCAATATTTAAAATATATTGTAGTATTTTCCGATTATTTTAACCAAATGACAAAAAAAGACGATTAACACGTCAATTACCTCAGGTTGTGAATCCAAAGTTGAACCAGGATGGCTTGACCGTGTTAATTCTTTCTTCCCAGTTGTTGAAACTTCTATGATACAGGTCCGCCTAGTTTCGATATCGCACCTACATGACTCCCAAGAATCAGATTGTAATATCTCTTGGATTCCAGGTTTATCCAAAGAGAAACATTTAAATTTAACGTTCGAAGCTAGATCTGCAACCAAAGGTTTTGCATGATTCAAATCATCTCTCGAACCACGAATGACCATTTCCTCATCTGATAGACTGATCTTGATATTTCCATGGGCTGACCTTCTTTCAATTAACGTCAACTTGTCGCGTTTGTACTGCTTGAAGTACTTGGATATTCCTGGTTCAAGTTTCATAGACTCCTCTATGATTGTATTTTTGCCAAGGAAGTCATCAATGGTTTCTAAAATTTCGCCACAATGTTCAGCTATTGTTAGTATCTGAACTTGACACCTTGTTATGTCAGCTTCAACCTGAACCATCCCAGGAAACTTTCTCTTGAAATTATCGCAGATATTCTTCCACGGATCCTTTGAGAGTAATGTTATCGAAAGTCTGTCGATTTGGTGTGACTTCTCCATAACTCGTGCCTTGATTAGATCTGCCGCCTTGACTATATCGGGTTGGGTAAGACTGTACAAAACGATAGAACTGTCACTTGGAAGGACTTCCCATGAACATCTAATACCGGCTTCCTTCATCTTGGATTTCAGGTATTGATGAACGGCGTCAGTTTTAAGAAAAAGCAATGCTGCATTTGAAAACTGTTTCTCCATCTTTGTATGAGATATCTTGCTCATGGTTTCATATATATTCACTTGTGCCAACTTGATATCAGTGAGTTGACCTTCAAACAGAAGTTTACCTCTATCGGTGTCTGCTGTGACAGCCAGGTCTGGTATATCTCGGCGCAATATTTTCAATGTATCCAGGTCACATAGTAGCACCAGCTTCGGAATACTAATGTTCATTTCCTCTCTTATTCTTTTCTTTTTCCTTTCAAGGTCATTTTCCGCCTTAATTCTTGATTCTTCGATCAATCGTGCTCTCTGGTCAACTTGTCTATGATACCCAATTAATGTTACTTCAGACGACTGATCGTCATAGGACACGTGTACTGAAGAGGAGTCTGAGGACGCGTCAGCCAATACCTTTGCCTTGAAATCATCATTCCAAATTTCTTTCAACATTTTTATTGTTTCAATCTTGAGGCTTTTCTCGATCTTGAACATTGCTTGCAGCACATCATTGTTCCACGTCTTTGCCATTTTTCTAACATTCTTTGTAGTTTTCGAAAGAGTTGGTGAAACTGAAAACTGGACGTCATCATAATGTTCGGGCCAATCAATCCGAGCATTAATGGCTTCTAGTGTTTGATCAACTTCTTTTCTGCCATGCTGGTACAGGAATGCATACATCTTGATTTTATCAGTGTCCTGTATTTCTATTGGCGGAGGTGCTTTAAAGGCGTGCGTTTGTCCATCTCCGTCACTCACCTGACCAAGACCAGTATAATGGGGATGTACAGATAAAGTAGAATTGTCCAAAACCAACTGTCGACGATCGCATACGCTGTCTACCACTGCAATAAAACGTTTTGAATTAACATTCGCAACATATTGTCCGTGGTCAATTGAAATGAAATTATGTTGGGCATTGTTTGCCCGTACGTAGACAATACAATTACGCACAAGAAAAATAAAACAAAACTTTCAATTATGCATGGTTACATGTCAAACAAATATATTCGACCGATGACTCATGATTAACTTTGAAATAGGCTAAGGAAAGTGAAATAGAACATTTTAGATTTAATATAATATAATTACCTTTACAATCTTCAAAGAAGATAATACATGAGTTGTCAACGTCTGACATTTCTACTTTTTGTATATGACCTCCCCCGCTTCTTCTTCCGTTCTCAAAGAACATTTCCAGTGCGTCTGAAGTCGTGTTGGGATTCAGGTTACCCACAGACACACAGTTCGTGACTGCAACTCTCTCAGCTTTGAGAAAGCTACCCTCCAGTTTACGTTTTTGACATAAACTTGCAAACGTATCAAAGTCTGAAATATTATAGAAAAGCTCTTAATTAAATTGATTTTGCTGTAAATATTGATCTGTTTCTGATTAATTCGATGAAGTATCTCATATCTTAGTACGATACTTTAAAAGAATTTTAACTATTGAATTGACCATTGACATCAGAAAAGTTATGATGACATGTTGTCGGTTTTTAAACGCTATATTTTGTGATACCATCATAACGAATTAAGTTAAAATCGACGAAAAAGTAACATTATACCAAAATTTAAAATCGACAAAAAAGCAACTTTATACCAAATGAATGATCAGTACACATCTCATCTCTTGCATAAAATTTAAATAATAATAGACCTAAACTCAGATCTGCTGCGATTTTTCGAAGTAGATAAACGAAGGGCTATTGTCCTACTTATGCAGTGGAAAACCGCAACATCGCGTCACCCATAATTCAGTGTGTATTCATCAGCAATTTCCCGGTTAGATATGCTGACATACGGAAAGGTGAGTAAACTGTCCAAAAAGCTGGCGTCCCTCTGAGACGTCGCGACGTCAGGACAGAAGTTTACATCTGTCCCATCTCTAAAACTAGTTTCAAACGACAACTAGAATGCCAACCAACAATGGACGTTTAGTGTTCTAGAACAGTCAAAAACATTGGATGCGACAGTTTGGTTTGATGAGAGGGGGTCCTTTCCTCGAGCCCACACTTAATCAACAACGACAGGTTGGTTTGAGGAGAGGGGGTCCTTTCCTCGAACCCATACTTAATCAACAACCACATAAACGCCGTTGGCAATGGTGCCGTGCGAAAGTTCAAAACGTCTGAAGTTGTTATAAATATTCAACTTCGAACAATAAACAGTTTAATGTGTTTATGTTAAGTAAGGTTCTGGCAGCAATTGCCACACGCGGCAGTTAAACAATGTATAGGTCACTATATTGCAACGATTGTTTTAGTGTGACAATCTATAACGGCGAGCACACCCTGGAAAACGTTCCCATCAGGGAACAGTAAGTGTATTATTTGTGACGACTGTGAGAAAGGTCGGTTTGTTTCAACGCCTGTTTAGAATTTATTTTATTTTTAAACAGAGAATTTAAGTACATTCAACATTAGATCATAGTATAACTATAAAAAAATATTGGATAATTCTGTAATTAATTTACATCAAATATTTGATGTTTGGTTCGGTTTTATTTTGTTTAAAGAGACATCACGTGAAGAGCCATTTTTTTAATGAATGTATATATTGTATGCACTTCCACTTATGATACCTCGCTATTCCCATATTCATAGTCTGTTCCTAATGTCCAGTTTGACCACTTGATTTGTTCGGGAAAGCCCTGCTAAAAATAGCGCCAATAACGTCACCTGACTCTGCAGTAAACACAAGTGGTCTGAAACGGTTTCCAGAGGGGCCCCCAGAGAGGGGCCGTGAGACAACTGCAACTTCTTACCGCGCTATGAAACCAAGAAATATGATTTCTGAGTCCGTATTCAAACTTATTGAACAGTAATTATTCATCATCAGAAGTTAATTGCACGCTTGCCAATATTCAGAATTTAAGTTTATTTATAAAGCTTTAAACATATTTGTTGCCAATAAAATTGAATAAGGTATGGGGCACAAGTTTTTTCAATTTATCACAGCCTTCTCCCGTCATACATTTACAATTAAATGTCAACAATGATAATAGGCATACAGTAGATATTTATAAACATATATTGAACTTAGTACCAGAATGTGACCGGTACAGATGGTACGGGGCTAAACACCTTCCCTCAACCATGGGACAAACCTTTCTGATTTTTCTTTTAGATATTGCCGGGGCAGAGGAGGCCGGGTATTCATATTAGTACTAATTTAAATTTTGCATGTAAAACCAAAAATAATCGTTTAATTCAGCAATATAATCAAATCATACCATTTTACTGAACCCGGTAATATTATAAATTATGTAAATCTAACAGCGCACGTATCTTGATGACCCCTAAAATACGCCGTGGGCCTTCGCAACAGTTATCCCGTGGAGGGCCTGATGGCAAAATCAAACTAACCAGTCACGTATCCCTTCCTTTCGCATAAACCACTGTATAATCATAGAAACACAAAGTAAACTCTCTCCGATAAATGCCCATTAACATATTAAACTAAGCCCATCTGTGTTCAAACTCAGACAAAGATACTAGCGAGCTTAATAGTTTTAGATATTTATTCATAACATAAACAGCGCTAGCATTTCTGTCGATTCCATTTCAGCTTATATTTTAACCGGCTATCCGGAAGAATACATGCACCGTACTAACTGCTAGGGCAGTAATTTTCTCCTTTGAATACTGCCCACCTGCAATAATGATTCCGTAACGTACTCCTTGCGCAATCTTTTGACCATTTTGCAACTTTTCGTTTCGGAGCTGACACGGTACAACACTTTTCTTTCACTTATTTCTACACGGCCTGTCATTTTGTTTACAAAGAAACGGTGTGCTATGCGCATGCGCTAGTAGAGGGAAATCCCTGAACAAAACGTTGGTCAGACAGGTAGAAATACCGATGATTTTCTTAGATTTAATCATTTTTATGAATCTGTTTTAGCCAAATCCGATCGTTATTTTCCATAAGGAGTCTAACTTGATATGTTTATGTAGTATTTGAAAAAAAGACAAAAAATAAAGTTACTTCACCGTGATGCCCCTTTAACGTCCTATTGACATCTAAGGTCATTTATGAACGTGCCACCATGTGTGTTTTTAAGCATGAATGCGTCTATGTGTGCCGGGGTATGTTGGTGTATTTGCCGTCTTGTGAAAGCGCAGATCTGATGCCGACTTCATAGTGCTATCTCACTGAAATACCTTGAAGAAGGCACCCAGCACAGCATTCCGCCCGGTCACATTATACTGACATGTATCTTCGTTGTTTGTTTTTAGAGTTGATGACATATCTATATATTTTTTTCCAATTAACAATAACATAACTTGTCCTAGTGATACTAAATACTGTCCATTTTAACGCTGTTTCTAAAAAACAAAAAGACGCATAGACGATTAAATAGGAGTAAAATTTGTGTTTTACAACAAATATTTAAAGCTCACCAATATTTTTGTCAAACGTCACAAGAATTGTTTCTTCACCAAATATCAAAGATTTTGGAAGGGCTGAAGCTTTTAGTTCCAGAAAGTTCTCCAGTGCATCTCTGCTTGTGTCGGGATTGACATCCCGGAGTAGGACTTTATCCTCACACATCTGTACAGGTGGGGGCGGGACAAACATCTTCACATCCAGTGTCCTGCCATCCAGGACATGTTTTCTTCTGATGACTTCGTCAGTTACTGCAATGTATTCACCATGAATCAGCTAACAAACCATTCAGTGAAAATTCATTGTCGGGTCTTTCGATGCAATTACGTTTTTGAAAGTGTTAAGAATATCAAAGTATCATCTTTAAACGTATATGTAAAGGTTATTACAACATTTCGTCTTTTTTCTTTAAAAATGACAACTTTACAATAAATATACACCAGTATGTACTTTAATATGCATTATCATGACAAATACTAAGTCCAACCATGCAAAGGTCAGTAGCATACAAACCTGAGGCGTCCTCAAATGTGATGATTGCAATGACTTTTTCAGCATCGAAGTCGAACTCCTTGATATTTCCTCCTCCTGATTTTCTTTTGTTTTCAAAATAGAACTGAATAGTATCACATGATGTATTTTGTGACATCCCGTGGACTTCTATAGTGGATAAATCCTCCTGATCGTCTATGTCACTATCTGATGTTTCTTCCTCCGATTCATCGTCACTTTCACATTCAACGCGAAATTCTTCAATTTCGATAATTGCCTTTTTATAAAGAATTGGACGACGAGCTAGTACACGTGGAACCACTGAAACAACAAATGAGAATATATATACTTAGTGATAGTGGATCAAAGTATGACGGTATGTTCTTTTTGCTATATTTAATAGGTTTTGACTTAGTTGGATCACAAGGACAGTATACAAATATCGAACTATTGTTGAATCTCACAACAACTATTTATATAATATACATATTGTATAATTCGCACACATCCATTTTTGTTCATGCATCTCCATTGTTGCTAATGCTCACAGTTCAGTTTTAGAAATGCAAGAGGCAGCTGTCTACTCCCAGGAACTGTGCTGTTCGTTTTTCGTGATTGGTATAAACTTTTTTAACCGGTCCCCCACTTGAATTTTTACTCAAAAAACGTCTTTATGTCCTCTTTTTCACATATTTTGGTAGTTTAAATACTTAAATTGCATTAACAACTAAATCTCAGAAAGCCAAAAGGTATTTCTCTGCTGCCACGCACTTTGGTCAATGTAGAGTACCTTTGCCGTGTCTCATGCTTAGTTTATGGGATTATAATTCAATGTTAAAAGAACTTGGCGTTAGGCAGTGGATAGTGTATTAGATAAATGTTTACAATTTCCATGTAGTAGCAACAATGTTATTATTACCTTCTGCTTTCTGAAAAGTTACGATCGCCGTTTGTTTTTCTTGATTGATATCAATTTTTTCAACCGGTCCCCCACTTGACTTTCTTTTACTCTCGAAAAATTTCTTCATGTCCTCTTCTTTCACATGGTCAGGTAGTTTAGATACTAAAATTGTTTTAACACATGAAATATCCTCTTCTTTTTTCTCTCCCATTTCATCGTCGGCTTGTTTGTGTTCACGGCTAAGTGATTTTGTTTTTGATTTACCAGAACCAGGCGCTAAAAGTATGAACAAAAGATAATAGATAGATAAAATCCTTAACATTACATTTTTCTGATGAACAGACGAAAAACAAGATAAGTGTAATCACACACCCCGTTTGCAGTTTCACAGCCGAAGTGAGAAATGCTTGTTCTCCTGCACCCCTATTATGAAGAGATTTAGTTTATAAAACCGACGTCAACCCAATATCAACAAATGTTATTATTTTAACCTTAGAATAACAGCAATCTCCATTTTATTACATGTTCCTTGTCTACACCTTCATGGTTGCCAAAGAAATCATCCCAAAAGAATTAAAACCGCGGAGGCAATAACATATACCAATAATATATACCAATAATATATACCAATAAAATATACCAATAATATATACCAATAACAATAATATATACCAATAATAATAATATATACCAATAATATATACCAATAAAATATACCAATAATATATACCAATAAAATCAGAATATGAATTCAAATGTATTTCTTATCGTGTAAATATCAACAAACCTTCTAAAAGTCGACCATGTTTCTTTGAAGATATCTGTTGCTCTGACGACTGTTCTGGTGACAAGTGTTGCTCGGACGACTGTTCTGGTGAAATGTGTCTACGGTCCGACTGCTGTGGGTTTACTTGATATCCTGGAAACCCGTACCAAGGTCCTCCATATGGCGGCGGGACCATTGGACCTGGTCCTCCGTAACGTGGTGGATGATTGGAACCTGGTCCTCCATATGACGACGGGACGTTTGGATCAGGTCCTCCATATGACCATTGCTGGGCTGGTACCGGTCCTCCATATTGCCATGAACCTTTCGGATCAGGTCCTCTATATGGTTGCGGCATTCCCGGTTGAACTAAATACGGTACTGGTGGTGTCATTCCCTCATTCAAGGCCCACTGTCCACCTGGCCGATTACCTTGCACAGGAGATGAAAATGACTGGTATTGGTATTTCTCAGGAGAGTCGTCTTGATTCCCAGGTCCGGTATTAATTTTGGAATTGTAATTGTATTGCACGTTACCTGTTACAGGAGAGTTTTGTGCCCTCCTTTGCTCATTGTCAACATTCCGGTTTTCACTTTGAGTGGGGGCATTCGTTTTCACGTCTGTTTGGTCCGTTGAATCACTTGATGTGATATCCTACAGAAATATCAATTTAATCAAATAAACAAGTAATTCTACTCACAATAAGAGGTCGAATAACCTTTAACGCTCACATGATTTCGAATCGAAAAGGACTCAGTCAACCATAGGCCACGGAGATCACAGATCCGCATGAAAAGTAACAGCACTTGTTAGGTAACACATAAATAACATTGGAAGCAAATAGAACAAAACCCATTTCCCGATTGATATAATTCTGCGGTATTTCAAAAATTAATGACTATTATGTTTAGCTCTGTTGAATTATCTTAATGATGAAATGTAAACCATTTGTCGAGTTGTATTTTATTTTTCTGAAAACACAATTTTCCACATATTGATACACTGTGTAGTAACGTACTAGGTGTGTATTAATACACTGTGTAGTAACGAGCTAGGTGTGTATTAATACACTGTGTAGTAACGAACTAGGTGTGTATTAATACACTGTGTAGTAACGAACTAGGTGTGTATTAATACACTGTGTAGTAACGA